GAATGGTAAAGGTGTCTTCATGCTTGGCAGATTTTCTAGAAGTACAGATAGTCCTCAACTTAAGACCACAATTGAGCCCAAAATTTCTATTGCTAAGCAAAGCAGTATTTGGGGAGTTTTTTTGGCCACGGTTGCTAAGGGAATCACTGGAATTAAGTGAATTGTGCAGTTTTTAAATGAATCTGGCTGTCCCCGTTGTCTTTGCTTACCGGAAGCCAGTTGGGAAGGTTATAAATGATGATCACATCATTCCTGGGACAATGCAACTGTCATAAATACATGTCAGTTGCCAAGTGCCAAATTTTGATCACGTGACTATGGGGATGCTGCAATGGTTGTGAATGTGAAAGCCAATCACAAATCACTTTTTTTCAGTGCTGTTGTAACTTTGAATGGTCACTAAACAAATTGTTGTAAGTCAAGTAGGATCGACTTGTAGGACAGCAGGACCTATAGATCCTATTGAGAATTATTCTCAGGCTAGCAGCCATTTAATTTAGTTCATTCCTAGATCAGACCAACAAGCCAATTCCTGTGCAAAATTAGTGTTGTGAAATACTAATCTAAAACATTTATTGGTGTCTTTCTTCTAAAATACTGCATGTTTTTATTCTGGGAATAAAGATAATTTTCTCAAGAAAAGAAGGGGTTAGCTAAGAAAGAAAAAACAGTTCTAATATAGCTGTCCCCTCCCAAGATATCAAGTCTTGCAAGTAGAAAAAAGATAAATAATTTATGACCAACTTTTGCTTTTTTGAGAATACTCCATGATCCAGATAGAGGTTTTAGAAAAGAAAATATGTTTCTGACTAACATTAAGTTGAAGAAGTAAATTAAATTTGCAGAATAATGTGCTATTTTTCTCTCTCAATTCTTTATAAAGGGAAATACCAACAGTTCTTATCTGAGAAATATTCATTATTGAATATTCAATATTGCAGAATATCAATGTGTATAGAAACCCTATCTCTATGTCTGCAGTAAAATATAAAAACAGGGGTGCCACAGAAATGAACACAGTCAGAACTTCTGAAAATAACTGCTACTTCACTACATTTGCTATTTGTGGCCTTGTAAGGTATTTGGAAAAGCTTTTAATGACAGATAAAGTTGTTTTGCAGAATGGATTTGGCTCATGATACTTCATTGAGGCAGATGGCCCTGCCTTTTGTGCCACCACAATTATTCCTATGAGTCTTTTCCCAACCTTGATGCTCATTAGATATATAAACTTTAACCATTTACATTAGCTTAAAACTCTACTAGAGTCTAGTCTTAGTTAATTAGCCTCAATCTGTTAAAAAAAATTCAAAAGAGCTTATTTTTATACAGGTAGTCCTCTCTTAACAGTAAAAGGGACTGGAATTCCCATCATTAAGCAACACAGTTATAAAGCTTTTCATGTGATGAGTTGTTTAGTGATAAAAATTCTGGCAGTTCTTATAGTTGCCATTATTAGGAAAATCGCACAATGCACAATGCCATTAAGTTCAATGTCGTGTGGTTGCCATTTGCAATCTTCTGCCAACTTTCTACTTTGCTTGTAGAAAACTGTCAAACAGGTTTGCAAACGGCAATCACATGAGATACTGTGATTGACACAGTATGGTCCCTGAACAAGTTATTAAACAAGGACCACATGTATAAATAGCAATAGCGCTTAGACTTATATACCACTTCACAGTGTTTTTACAGCCCTCTCTAAGCAGCATAGAGAGTCAGCCTATTGCCCCCAACAATCTGAGCCCTCATTTTATTGACTTTGGAAAGATGGAAGGCTGAATCAATCTTGAGCCTGGTGAGATTTGAACTGCCAAATTGCAGTCAGCCAGCAGTCAGCAGAAGTGACCTGCAGTACTGCATTCTAACCACTGCACCACCACAGCTTAGTACTTTTTCAGTTGTGGAGTAAAATGTGACTGCATCCATCCATCACGTATCTGTGGGCAGTAAACTGACATATTCTTGATGATATGTGGTTATTGTATATGAACATTACATGAACCCTCATTTGATTTTTTTTCAGAATGTTTTTGTTGATTTGATTTGCAAAGAATTATTCCATAAAATTCAGAGCCAAAGAAAAATATAACTGATTTATGATACCGTAGAAAAAAATCCTCCAGGATAAGAAGAAACATTGAGAGATTTGTTGGCTTCAAGCTTCATTCTTTATGACATCACTCATTAGGACACTCAATCACATTTTTATATAACACAGTACACTGTAGGTGGCTTTTCATTGGAGTGTACTACCTATGGAACAAAAAATTGTGTTTTGATTATTTTCAGCCATTATTCCTCATTTGCAATGGTTGGGCCACTACCCATGCTGATTTGATAGATTCTGCATTTTAAGAACACATTACATCATAGGAGGAAGGGAAATGACTGTTTTCCTATTTTCACTCATGGCTTTTAAATGCAGATTAATGCCAATTAAATTCCACCAACATTTCCAATTCTAGTAAAGCAGCTGAATAAATAAGCAAGCCACATGAAGTACCATTGTACGATATCCATGATTAATATCCACAGTCATGGAATTACCAAACACAAGAGGCTTCATTAGATATGGAAAATGAAAAAGAGAAACTCTGAAAGATAAAGTATTACAGACTAAACTATGTAGTGGCTAAACAGTATTTTGCAAAGTATTAGCCAAATCAGAGAAAGATCTGAATTTTTAAAAAAAAGATAAAGAGAAAATGCTCAAAAGCTCTTGAGAGCATAAGAAAGTATGAAGGCCTAGGTAAAAGAAGCCTGAGGAAATGGAAAAGATTTTTTTAAAAGTCAGAAAGTTAAAAAGGCATGAGAGAAAGAAGGAAAGATCAAGATATTTAACTGGACTGCAAAGGAAAAAGGTTTGAAGGCTAAAAAAATAAATACAGCTACCTGAAAAGATGAAAGAAAGAAAGCTTTACAATCTCAGGGACTCAAGAATTGCAGCTGGGGAATTATTGTGGAAGAGATGATGTAGAATTGATTTCCCAGAAGTCGGAACAAGAACAAAGAGTTTAAATGATAAGGAAATAGATTTTGATTGGACATCAGGAAAAAATATTTTAATAGCAAGAACCAATTCTTCAACAGTAGATGCTTAGACAGAGGCTGGATGGCCAGCTGTTAGGAATGCCAAAGGAATAGATTCTTATATTGGGAGAAGGTTGGAAGAAATATCCTCCAGTATCCCATCCAATTCTTCTGTGTTCAATTTGGGTTATCTTTAATAGGATTTTTCATTGTTTTCCTAACATTTGCACTATTTTTGTTTTACTTTTTGTTGTTGGTTCCTTGAGCTAGAAACCAGATATGAAAAATAAAAATTAAAAAATTAAGGTCTTTATAGTGTCCTGAGTTTTAATTTTTGAATCTTTATGCCTAAAGATCTTGGTAGCCAGATTTTATATTAACCATGATTCTTCTTTCAGATACAGGAAGACAATGCTATAAAAATGCTGGAATCTCCATATGTACGCACTTTATTTTTCAAACTACTTATGTCTGACTTAATGCAACTAGAATTATGCTACCAACTGTATGCAAATTTTGTAGAAATCAATTGGCCACAAACATTATTTCTGGCTTACAATCAGTAGCCACTGTCAGTGGGCAGGGCCTGAGATCTGCAAAGGTGTTGAATATGGACTTCTGTATTCATATATGTATCTGTAGTATTTATATAATGTAACTATCCCTGATCTATGAATTTCATCCATGAGTTATTTTTTCATATGGTTAATGTGCACATGTCTACATCACAGTGCTCCAATGCTCATGATTGATGCAAATATCATTTTGTGAATGGGATATTAATCTGTATCTGAGACAACCAGATATGTCTGAAGAATGTGGCCTTTTATCATTCATAAAAGAAAACTTCAGAATCTTGAGGTGCTTGCTTCATTTTGTTTATTCTCAACACTACGCTCCCATTCAAAATATAAAATGCTACTCAAATATTATGCTACCCCTAAGATAACACAGGTAGTCCCCACTTATGATTAGTTTTCAAAGTTGTGGGCATTGCAGCATCCCATTGTAATTCAGGTATTTGGCAACCAGCACACCTGTATGACAATTGCAATATCTCGTGGTCATGATTGCCATCTGCAATCTTCACAGCTGGCTTCTAACAAGCAAAATCAACAAGGAACCCAACCTGAGGTCACAAGTCATGGTCATATGACATTGCTTTTAATGACTTGCGATTCACTTAATGACTGTTGCCCGAATTGATGTTGTAAACCTGTGTGGTCATGTGACTCTTCATTTTACAACCTCATCATTTAGCAATGGAGTTGCTGGTCTCATGCTTCGTAAGTGTGGACTACAGATACCTGTAAATCCAAACCACTGAATTTCTACAAGCCTATATTTACTTTGCATTTATTTCCCCCCCATTTTTCAGTCACGTGGAAGTCCGTATCTTACCCGACTAGCTCCACTCATGCTTGTGTGTGTGTCCACACACTCATCATATATATTTTGTTTACATTAATCCATCAATCAAGGAAATTGCCTCCAGAAGCTCAAAATGCTATATTCTTACTTTTTGTTTCAACAGGTATTACTTATTAGGGTAAGTAATATTAGTTAAATGTCCCCATTGATGAACTCATGAGATAGTATGAGTTACATTCTACACATATTCCATTAGATGCCAAGAACAGTGAGCTACAGTAGCCCCTTTTGTGCATGACTGATGTCAAAAACAAAAGGACACATCCCTGTTGGCTGATGTTCATGCTTTTCAGCCAGGTTGAGAAATCATGTCCTTTAATGTAGAAGTTCCTGGTGCAAATGAAGCAAGGAAAAGTACATTCTGTTTAGGCACAAGGTCGGGGAATGGGGAGGAAGTGTGAGCTGTACCGTTTTAGATATCAAATAAAACAGGACAAGAGAATTCTTGTAAGATTTTATGAAACTGATCCAAGAGCTTTTTCAAATAAAATATACAAAGTTTTTTTTTTCTTAGAGAAAAGGATGATGCTAAAAGGAACAGAGCCATTTGCTGAATAAAAATAACATATGTAGTATTTATAGTGAATGGTAAGGAAAAGAATAGTACATTTGCATTGAAACAGCATGCAGTCAACTTTTGTGAATAGATTTGCTTGCACAGCAATTATGTGCACATATATATATTGTAAGAATGTACAAAACCCGGTAATAAAAATTCTGTCTTTCTCTGGTACAGTACTTTTCAGCTTTTTCTTTTTCTTAGATCTCACTAGAATGCAGACATTCTTTGGAAATGCTTGGCACCACTTTATCAAAATCCTGACTGTATCAGGGAGTAAATGGGAGGGTCGGTTCAATTGTAACTATGGTTGCTGAAGGGTTACTCTCAGTTGGGCCCAGGCTTGGGAACTGCAAGCCTACTTCTTCCATTTGACTAGTTGACTGACAAGGGAATAAAAACAAACATAGAAAACTCTCTCTGAGTGGGTTTCATAATTTTTAGAACCTTTGTGTTATTATAGTGTTTTTGTATTGACTGATCTCCCAGATGTGTGTGTATTGGCGCTTCAGAGCTGTAACAAAACAATAATGTCAACACATATACTTTTTGTTTTCCGAAATGGAAGCTGTGTAGTATTCAAAAAGAGCATCATCCATGTTTCTGGCAACTTTTCTTGTTGCTAAGGCAGACTGCTGCATTTGATTCCATTCTTTTTCTACTTTCAATCAACAGTACAATCTATATATTTTAATATGAAATATCCTAAGCCTGTGAAGTCACACTATGTAAATGAAACTTTTAATTAAAAATTATGATTTAAAGAAAAGTTTAAGTGTCCTTGTTTCTATGAATTTAATTGTTTTAATGAAAGACATCTATCTGCTCATGGATAAACATGAATACATCCCTGTCCTTCCAATGTCTTTTGTTTTCTGTTATTCTAACTTAACAGAAAAGTTATTTACTGCTTTTTAGATTCTGTGGTAGTAAAAAAAAGCAACAATAATCTGCCAAGGGCGTCCAAGATTAAAGAATAAACTCTAGGAAGGTAGCAAACCAGTTGATACTTGATAACACTAATTAAATGTTTCTCCTCCTTTTCAGATATATTAATTATGCTTCTCCTCTATGGAACAGAAAATATACAAATTTTTGCATAAATACAAATAAATAAATAAATAAGTACACTTCCCTGATTCAATGGCCCTAGCACATTATTTATGACTTGGTCAATCCAGATGTTTACAGTGCTGCCAGTGGGCTTGCCCCATTCTTAAATACTAAAGAGGATGGATCTAATTTATATTCGATTTCAAATACCACCAAGCTTCAAAAAGTATTGGAGCAGCCTTGCTTGCAATAACTGTGTTTGAATTCTGTAGGTGGGAAAGGGAAGGGAAGGGAGATGATAATTGGTTCAAGCCAAAATATTATGGCTTTAGTTTTGCATATATGTATATTTTACATGAATTCAGAAATTCATAAGGTTGAAGATGATAAGCTATAGCACTGAAAATGAATAATGGAAGTATGGTGAAGTGAATACATTATACCCATCTTTTTCTTTAAGCCACTCTGGTATATTTAAATATATTTCTTTATATGAAATTTAATGCATTTATTCAATTCAAAGTGATTATTTACAGTGAAATCTGAAGCATTTTATCAAGAAGTCCCTACTGTACTTAGTCAGACTTGATTGGTATTCATTCTTCAAACTAAAAATTCAAGACACTGAACTAAAGGGGACTTAATTTGAATAAATTTATGTAGGATCATATTGACAGTTGTCACTACTCTGTTCTAAAATTGGACTATTGGCAGAGTCACTTGCAAAACCCACTAGCAGCTGCCAATATACCAACTATGGAATTAATATTTTTGGGGAAAATATATAAAATAAACTTCATTGACGTTATTTGAAATTATTTAAGACAAGCAATATTTGATTGCCAGTGAACATATTGCTGATTATAAATTTCCACAATTTTCAATTTGCAAAAAGTTATATACTGAACCATACATATGTTGTCAAGCTCAAGTCCAAGTTGATAAAAAAAAAAATTCTTAAGTTATTTTTAGTAGTCAATGAATTGAAATGGATTTTATATGGAATATGCTTTTTCTTTAAAAAAAAAAAAGCTTATGTCCTGCTCCAAACATCAGTTTTGCAATGGCTTTCAGACCCAAAGTAAAACGTAATGCTCTTCAAGGAGTGCCACTTACTCCACAGGTCTCATTCTGTGTCTGCATGGGATTAGCCTTGGACTCCATGTCTTGCCGTTTTTGATTCTGTTTAAGTTGATTTAAGGATGGCTTTGCTTGTACAGTTCCCATGGTTTTGTTTGTCCATTGATCCACCAATTTGTGGAGATCATCTGTAAAGGTTCCTTTCTTGTTGTTACTGTTGTTGGCTTGTACCTGAACCTGTATTGTTGTTTGTGGTAGAGGATCTGGATATGCTACAAGGCTGTTTGCTGAAGATCCTAAGACATCATGGAAAGGTAAGAATCAATTATACGTACATATAAGACATGTATTTTCTTTTGAGTGTATGTATTACAATTATGTTTAATCGATCAGCTTCTTCTTCTGAAGAACATTTTTTTGCTTCAAAAATGGCCCTCCAGTAGTGTGAACACATGTTTAAATATGTATTCAGAGGAATTTTAGTTTTGTTATTCAGAGTATTAGTTTAGTTAGGATAAATTATATCTTCTTTCCTCACAGAAGCCTGTTTATTTTTTTTAGTCATAATTGGCTAAAAAAAATCTTTGCAGCCAATTAAATTTTTATATTTCTTCAGAATTCTCAAGTACCTCCTTACTCTGTTCTGAACTGAAATGTACTTTGAGATTTGACTGATCTTTTCCTTCTTTTTTAAAAAAATCACTTTCAAGATGATAGTAATGAATGACACAAGTGGTCATAATTTGAAAGACTACAAACATGGCAACTAAATCTATTCAATCTAATTATAAAAATATTTATACATACATCCTGAAACTGGGGCAACTGTTGTTGAAATCTTTACTCAAAATAAGTTGCGGTAGAGGCATTAAAACCAATTAAGTAGCAAAGGAAAATAAAGCAGTACTGACAATTGACCAATGAGTCCAAAAATAATCTTTTCCCAATTATCTCAAAAGCGTGTATCCTAATTTCAAAATGACCAAAATTTGAAGCAGAAAAGTTCAAAGTTGTATTGAAACGGTATTACATACAATGAGCTAACATACTAGATGACTATTTCTACATTATGAATGTACAGAATGAGCAACACTATTAGCATTTTTTCACTTACACAAAATCTTATGCCTTTCTTTAAAACTTCTCGTGCATTGAACTAATGTGAATTCTTATGCTTGTTGAAAAATAGAACAGTGAAAGTGCTCCCCCCAATTTATACTTCAGCCACTGTTCAGTACTTCAAGCATTTCAACAGAGGAGAGGAACTATTAAACTGTATTAGTCAGCCAGCCACAGAAGAACATTATAAGGAAGCCGAGTTAATTAGCAAGCATATGACTCAGCTTTATTTCATTAAAATACACATGTACATACTGAAATTATGATGATCTTGCAACAGGCATGCACCCCAAAAAAGCACAGACATGCAAAGCTATGTTTAATTCATAAGCAGCATAATTTAAATGCCATCATCAATGCAGTCTGCTGTTAAATAAACCACTAGATTACATTTAAACAAAGCAGCCCATGCTCAAAAATAAATACCAAAAAGCCAAAAATAAAAGAGAGAGGGATAGTTACTACTACTGTGATCTTTGCCTAGACATAGTCGTTTCAGGGTGGACCCTACAAGGTAAATGATACAAGATATATAGAGTTAGGTAAGACTAAAAAGGGAAAAATAAAAGACTCTGATGGACAGTCTTCTGCATTTTTAAACAATAAAAAATAACCATTATGCAAGAAGGAACAGACAGAAAGTCAGCAGTTCAGGTGTAAAAGAAGAAATAATGGGGCTGCTCAAAGCCTATAGAAATTTACTGATACGAAAAATAAAACACTGCAGATTTTTAAATTGGCTCCTACAATTTTCATTACATAGAGTAATATTTCTAATCAATGTTGCTTCTAAATCAGTTCCTATTCTGTATGCCCAGTAAATGAAATACCTCTGATTTCTCTCAGTTAATGATAAAAATAAGAATAGATTGGCAGCAAGAACTTCCTATTTCAGGTTTTAGAGCCAGTTCGGCAGAACTAAGGCACATCAAATTGAAAGTATATATTGAAATGAAAGACTTCATCTTGATCTTATCATCAAACTGCATTTGGACGCTTACAGCTCTATTGTATAGGAGATAGTATTTCCTATCATTCTTTATTATTTATTTGATGAGCTGGCTAGAAAAATCCTACTGCTTGGTTAAGAATATTCAGTTGAATCCAATGCAGTGTTAACAACAGGATACAAAGACAAAATAAGGAGATATGTTTATTCTGACAGAAAGTCAGCAGGAAGGTTATTAATTGGTCTAGCTCTAGCTGGTTTAAAATTTTCTTTTTCTGTTTTATTTATCTAACTTACCTACTTTGCCTTTATAATATTGCGAAGATGTCATGGGGGTATTATTCATTGTTAGGTGCATGTTGGTACTGCTGTCCACCATGATTAATCAAGTGGTTTCTGATATGGTAGAAAGATTACCCATCTTTGCATGCAAACACAACCGAAATCATTCCAAACTTTGATAGCAATGCATGTATATGTATGTGTACATGTCTATACTTATCTATCCCAATGGTATTGAGTGCTACACATGACAATCTTTCAAACAGAAAGAAAAACCACATTTTACCTCACTAAGTCTTATGCTGAATATTTTATTCTAATTTTAGCCAAGGGAGAGACCTTCACCATGATATTATCACACAAATGCTGCATCCTAGATACTAAAATGTCAGGATGCAAGTGCATATCAGCTGTATATCTTCTCAGCTGTTTTGTCATTTTGGCATTATAGCTCTTTACTGTAGATGCTGCTGGCTCTTGCTACACTGTCTACATTCAATCTACCTATTGGTAGATTGAATCAATCACATAGGAATAGCAGATTCCATAATGTGTGTGCACATCAACAAGGTACTTATTTTAGTGCCAGAACAATAAAATCTGACTAGATTAATTGATGTCTGCTGATATGAACATAAATTGGACCTAGCTCCAAATAAATGTTTACATTAGTTATTATACTTCATGTGGGAATCAAAAGGCTGTAGTGAACAGCATTCTATAATGTAAATGTGATATCTCCATAATAAATGTCCCAAAAGAAAATCAGTTGATATCCTTCCTTCCTTCCTTCCTTCCTTTATCACCAAATTCTTTTATTTTAGTTTAGACCTTTTTGGAGAGAGGGTCACAGTCAGTGATGAGACCATGCCTAAATTTAACATATTTTCCTATGTTTTAATTTTTCAGTGGATTCTTCTGATAATTTCTTGCTATAACAATATGCAATTGTGTTTTTGTTTATATACTAGACAGTAAATCCTTAACCATCTTATTGAAAATAAATAACCACCAACATGACCTGTTACCTTTGTACTTTGTGCTGTCTTTAAAGTAAGTACTATACAACAACTTAGTTTTAAGAGAACATAGAGCCAAGATGGTCATATAATTAGGTTTTATGTACAGATTTAAATACTATTTTTTTAAAAAAGAGAACAGCTTCTACTCAAACTACTATAAATTAAGTATTTTTTCTAGAAATATTTTTCCACATTTTAAAAGATTTCTTAAATTTCTTATGTGCAACTTTGGTTTTAACTTTCTAAAGTAACCTACAGAATTATATTCCTTCTACATGTGCCCATAAACTGTAAGGAGAACATTGTCATGACTTTGCTGGTTCACCAGAAGTCAATTGGAATCCCATCCCAATAAAATTCAATGACTCATCATTTTGTAACACATAAAGCAATTAATAATTTTACCGCTAAGGGATAAAAGTTCACCTTTTAGTATTTTCCTGTAATCTGTGAGATTCTTAATAACAACTGGAAGATTCCTATACTTACAAGAGGAACAGAATACACATAGTCCTCAACTTATGATCACAATTGAGCCCAAAACTTCTGTTGTTAAGTGAATTTCACAATCTTTCTTGCCATAATTGTTACGTTAGTTGGTTGTTAAGTGAATCTGGCTTTCCCATTGACTTTGCTCATCAGAAGGTCACAAAAGTTAGTCACATGACTTCAGGACACTGCTATCGTCATAAATGTGAGTTGGGTGCCAAGCACCTGAATTTTGATCATGTGACCATGGGGATGCTACACCGGTCATAAGTGTGAAAAATGGTCATAAATCAATTTTTTCACTGCCGTTATAATTTCAAACGGTCATTAAATGAATTGTTGTAAGTCGAGGACTACCTGTAGAACAGTTCCTCGGCTATCTTTGACCATATTGGTCTACAAAGCCAATGCAATTAATAACATTGGTACCATAACATTAACAATTGCTCTGTAGAGCTTAGCTGTCAAAAACAACTGAATGTATCATTCCGAACATACTTATACTGGAAAGAGTCTTATATTGAGTCAGATCATTGGCTCCTGTTAGCCAGTATGATAGATAGTGAATAAATGCCCGCAAATATCAATAGCAAGTACAATAGCACTTAGACTTATATACCACTTCACAGTGCTTCACAGCCCTAAGTGGTTTATAGAGTCAGCATATTGCCCCCAACAATCTGGGTCCTCATTTTACCCACCTCGGAAGGATGGAAGGCTGAGTCAACCTTGAGCCTGTGGGATCTGAACTACCAAATTGCAGGCAGCCGATAGTCAGCAGAAGTAGCTGCTGTACTGCATTCTAACCACTGCGCCACTCTTGTAGCACTAATTGTCCCAGGTTCTAGGGAAGAACTTCACCAGTTCTCCTTGCAATTGCCAGACACTGAACTTGGATCTTCTGCATATATGTCATGCATGTACCACACAGAACCATCAGATAAGTTTTATATGCCAAATAATTAAAAAATATTATATTTCTTTATCTTGAAATTATAACTGAAATTTAATATTATGATTTTCATATACAAAGATGTTTATGAATACTTAAAAGCCCTTTCATTAAGCCTAAAAATGTTGACATTATTTTATTGAAAATGGAGAGCAAGAAGGATAGATTTTAAGTAGCTTTGTGCCTTTGATTTGTACCCTTGTAATAATGATAGAGATGTATAGTTCCAATGATAAAAGTTTGATGAAAATGAATACTGAATTTGCTGAATGTTAACTAAATATAAATACCTCTATATATTGGCACTATTTTATCTTATTTGTAACCATGGCCTAGATTTTTTTCATTAGTACAATATAGCCTTATTGTACCAAAATATCCCAAAGTAATTTGCCTTATAATAAGCATTTGTTTTACAAAAGCAAACTTAAAAATAAATATTTGTGACAACTGGTTGAATAGCCAATTCGTATAATCATACAATCAAGAACAGTCTAGTTTTAGTTGCATCTGGACATGATATCAATAGACTATTCTGAGAGTGGCGTTAGGAATTTTAATTTATTCTGTGCTTTGATGAACTGCTTGTTGACTTCATCTCTGAGGTCACATAAGGTCATAATAAAAATTAACTGAGTAAAGTGCTCCAGCTAGGTGAATGTCTAATAAAAGCCATATTGTACTGTGTGATAACCTAACAATCACATTTAAAAAAATTCATTTAAAGTAATCCAAAAGTACACAATGTGAGGGGAAATGCTGCCTAGAAAAGATGGTGTTAAAGAGCTAGCAGGAGCATTTCTCAGCATTTCTACATGCAAGGGACAGGAGAAATAACATAATAACAACAATAACAACAACAAAGTGGATATAAACAGTACTGTATATTGTTTGAATACAGCCCTTGTGCAGACGTTCTACCCTTCAGTGACCTTCTAGAATTGTATCAGCTTGCTACATGCATGTCTTCATAGTCCAAGCATGTGTGAAAGAGACCATTCGTCTACAGAAGCCTGGGTTTCGATTTGGTATCACCGGAATCAGGACAGCAGACATTTATAACTGTCACATTGCAAATTAAAAATTACTCCAACGCAAAATCACAGAAAGATACGTCCAGGATAAGAATTTACCATAAGACTATAGAATAAATTGATGAGATCTTCCACACATGCTTTTGATACCCAGGCATGAGCCAAAAGCAGTGTTCAAAAGCTTTCCATATGAAACAAAATAAATTAAATTAAGATGATTACTTTAAAAAAAAAGGGAGGGGGGGGGAAGTGATTGTCTACAAGAAGGGGCTTCCTGCCAAGCATATTAGATAAATTGATGAAAATGAGTTTTGAAAAAGATGACAAAAGAAAGATGGGCTGTGATAAAATACAAAAGAACAAATACAAACAGATGGACAAAGACACAGGTCCACTGAGGAATCTGGTACGAGGTTTGCTACTAGATTTATAGGTCACTCTCTCAGACGTTTGGTGGAAAACCGTCCAGCCTGCAAATGAATATAAAGGGAAGAAAACAAAGACACTTATAAAGTACAAATAGCTGTGATTAGATGTCACCATCAGTCATATCAGCTTTGTTAGTTAATCATCCACACCTCCATTTTAACCTTGCCCCAGAGGAGTAAGTTCATTGGCTATAAGCAAAAGGGTGTGAAAACAACAGCAGAAGAAAATAGATATTTTATAGGATTAGTTGGGCAGAACATGCAAAACCAGAGGTGACCATTTATAATCATCCCAACACTTTGCAGCGGTGTAAGGACTCTACTGCTACCATACCATGATGAAGCTATGCCATGAGAGGTAACAGTGCTACTACTGAATGTAGTAGACTTTCTAATGAAGCTAAAATTTATGCCATGCGCTTAAAGAGTAATTATTTCTGAATTACATTTTTGCAGGCCAATACAGTTTAATCCGAAAAGTTCTGTATCTGCAGGAAATGATGGGGACTTAAGAGAACCAAAGAATAGGAAGCAAAATAAAAAAGGAGTCAGCTTCCCTGTTGCAAATATTTTCAATCTACAGTGGACAATTTTACTGATTTTTTTAAAGTGCTCTATACTCTACTGGTTCTTCCTTAACATTAACTGCATTTTGTATTTGTACTCTACTGATTTTCCTCTCATGGCTCATTTTCAAAATGAACACCAGGAAGTGAGACACCTACCCTTTGCACGGTCAGTGAAATTGCTGTTAGACTTACATCAACAACTTTTCTAATTGTATCACAATTAGCATCATTTCTACAGGCTTTGAATCAGTATGCTGAGCAGATGTTTCTTGGTGAGGTTGGGCTGGACATTCTCTCTAGCTAAACCTACCTCACAGGTTGATGTTGTGAGGAAAAAATGGAGCCCAGAGTGCTATATATACCACCATGAGGTCCTGGAGGAAAGGTGGTTTAAAAATCTAATCAGTATATCAAGTAAAAAGAAAGCTTTAAACTTCCTTTTCTCACTTTAACACATGTTTTGTTCCCCTGTGGAAAAACGACTGTTTTAAGCATAGAGTAAAAGAGGACTCTGAAGATATAAAATCACCTTGGCCAGAATTTCCACGGATATCACCTCCTTCAGAAGCTACTCCAGAGCAAATGTCAGAGGATAATGAAGCCTTGACAGAGCAAGGTTGCTGAGTCTGAACTGAGCTGTCAAGTATGGCTGATGTGGACACAGTCAGTCCTCTTGCTTCAGCAGAGTCTGCTTGAGCTCTAGTGCTTCCCTTAGCCAAAGGGTCTTTATGCTCTGATATATTGCCTAAACAGGATGTATGCAAAAGTCATTAAGCTGAAAGCAATAAAAGAATCTGAAACCATAATCTGAAGAAAATTTAAAATATTCTGAAGTTTTTTTCATTGACCCAAATCCACACATTAAGAAAACCAGCTGCAGAGAATCAACCATTCCTATACATTTTCATTTATATATATATAAAAATCAATAATGGCTATAGTTTTGCCATATCCATAGTGTAGCATCAATGTCTCCAATGCAATGTTCACGGATACTAATATTGGTGACTCAGTCGAATCCATGTTGCACCTAATTTTATTTATTCTGATTTTTTTTTAAGAATGAAAGGAAAAGCTTTTATATTGCAAAGTAATGCACCAAACTCAAGAATCACCCTAAAAATGTTTTGGACATTCTAAATAAATGAGACATAATCATAGAAAATAAAAATGAAAGGAACTTACATCAAATGTTTAATATGGTTTTGCTAAGTTGTGTTTAATGGTTCAACCTAATTTAATTCCCCTCCCCATGAAAGCAAAGGACAAATAAAGCCATCTTTACCCCCTTTCCTTTGATTGAACAATACAACTGCAAAGAACAAGAATGAAACCCCAAGAAAATAATCGACAATTTCAAATATTCACTGCATGTATGTTAAAAGGAAACTATCACTTTTAAACATACTTGTACTTGATGTTTTGAGCTGCTGGACAACGGGGTTTAGCAATTTCCCAGTTTTTAATTTGTGCTTGCTTGTTCTTCTTCGGCGGCCACTTGGTGGAGCAGAATGAAGGAATCCGACATTGGGTGGTAGTGGTTTTCCCAGACGAACGTACAAAGCTTCTATTTCTTTTTTCTGTTGTGACTGCAACTCAGTAATCTCCCTCATGTGTCTGAAGAATAAACATGAAAACACTGAAAGAAAGTAACTCTTAAATTAAGATATCTCTATTTCTAAGAACATATCTTAGAATATGCATTTTTGTTACATCATTATCAAATACTTTTTTTAAAAAAAAATTACATTGCAGGAGATAAATTTCAAAATGAAGATTGGTGGCTTTCACCATGGCTTATAGTCCTAATATGAAAACCATCTCTATGATGAAAAAGAAGGCACATTTGTGCAAGCTTATGAATCATTCAGGAAGAGTGAGGAAGCCAGCATATATATTTTAAGAAGTTGCACGATCAAAACAATGAGAACAGCAAATTGTTTTGACAGCCAAGTGCTAAATATAGTGAAAGGACCAGCATGAAACAGCAAAAAGATTCAAGAAAAGGTTACACCACACAAGATGAAGAATAAGAATATACAGAGGTTTTTGGTAGAGGAACCAGAAGAACAATCTACCTTACTACAAATTTATTTTTTTAAAAGGTAGCAATGGAACAGCACAAAATGCAATAGTTACAGGAAATGCCTACTTCATTCAAATGCAATATGGTCAATGAGTAAGGAATAAAGAAACTCAGAAAAAAAATAGTTACATGAAAAACTGTAACAAGAACCAGAAGACTAGAGACCTTTGAATTTGGCCCTGAGAATACTGATAAATTTGTTTCAAGCATTAGTATTAGAGGATGTTGTCTTATCAAGAGGCAGTACTTTGATTGGGTTCAGAAGCTAAACACCTGGGTTGTACTTGAATGAAAAATCCAAAGATAATGTGAAGGTTGTGAGCTAGACTGTGAAGTCCCAGGCTTGTACACTATATCTCCCACCGCCACCCGCAAAAGCAATGGGAAATCACTTCGGTATTTCTGTTAAGAAAACAATATGACCATATGTGCCATCAGCAGTCCAGTTCAACTCAGAAGAGACTTTGCCATTAAAGACAAACAATGAATAATAATCATTTATTAATATATAATTAATTTAGAATTTATCAAAATTAATAAAGATTAATATTCAGCCAAATCAATCAAAACGTGCTATACTTGGATGTCCGAAAATACAAATGAACTGAAATTCTACTAAGAAAAGTGAAAGAAATAGGACTAAAATTAAATAGAGTCAAGTCACGTCTAATGACAATAGGTTAAGCAACTAATCTAAAAATTGACACTAATGATAGCATTTACCTTTTAGGATCAACTATCAGCAATTAACAGTAAAGAAATCAGCAATAAAGAAATATGCCATAGATCGGCAGTTGACAGGGTATCAATGAAGGCCTTGCAAAAGATACTTTGGATATGATATGCCTGCACCGACAACATTCAGAATGATACAGGCAATATTTTTCTTTATGTCACTCCATGGAAACAAACAACAACAACAAAAGGATTTTGAAGAAGTAAAACAGAAAGAATAATATTCAATTTTGGTGTTGAAAAGGACCCAAGAACGGGAGTCAAAAAACAAAGAAACAGATCATAGGACAAATCAATACAGAGTCACACTCAATGCGTATTATGGAAAGACTCAGCTGTCTTGAGAAGCCCGTAATGCTGGGAAAGAAGGAATGAAAGAGAACAACCAAGAGCATGGTGGATGGATTCAATTGTGGCAGTAAAAGTTTTATAAGATTTTTAGGAGCCAGCATGAAGACAGGTCATCCCAAAGCTTTATCTATGCTGTTGCTAAGAGATCACACCAACTAAATGATAACAGTCAAAAAACAAAACAGGAGATTAATATAGTAACAAAAAAAAAGAAATTAATAAAATGCATAACAACAATATGTACAAACAGCAGAAAAACAGTATGCAGATATTTTCCATGTAAAGCCTGGAGTCTTATGCAATCACATAGTGATACTTATGTAACATATATCCATAAATTGTTTATGGACAAACTGTTCACAATAAGAAAGAATTCATCTCTTCAAGCTAATCCATAAGTTTAATTAACAAGGGTATTATTTCTTCAAAATGCCATTGGTGATGCACAGGTTAGTGCAACAGAACAGATGATGTGAGATGGAGAGGATGTTGGAAAAGTAACTGGACGAAATAAAAGTTCAATATAGAAGTTGGAATTCCAATAACATGGAGCTTTATTCATCTCTCTCTCTATAAACCAAGGTCCCTGTTTTGTCTATATGTCGCTCTAATTTAATCCGAGACCATACTTTTCTTCCAGGCGGGGCAGTGAGATGGGCAATGTATACATTTAATATAAATAACTAAAGATAAAGAGCCTGGGAATTATCTAGTCCAAAGACTCTTTCACTGAGACTGGTTTACCAATACTTTAATCAACGAATTCTCAAATAAGCCTCAGTGGAGGCAATATTAATTTCCAATCAAAGAAGAACAAGACAATAGAAGGAACAAAACATTACTCTTAAGACTGGGTTGTCTCAAGAGTCCATGTGTCTTCTATAGACAAAGCATACCTTTGTCCTAAATAACTTTACTGTATCTATTGCCACTTCAATTAGCAAAACAAATTATATTGCCGAAAGTATTTTTGGCTCAACTAACACTATCTTTTATTTGATTTTTCCAAGGGATAAATGATTGAAAAAAAGATTCCTAAGTATATTATGTCCTTGCTCGATGTGAATACATTTATTTTGCAGTTCTGAAGGGAATTAAAATGCTGTTGGGGAATAAAGCCACTTTTGTCTTGTAATATACAAAATCCAATTTTTCTTTAGTGCAGAATGTTGCTTTTATCAACAAAATGAGAACAAAAACAGGGAAAGAATATTGTACATCAAATGAATGAAAGAACTTGAAATAAATGCTTTCAAAAGAAAAGAACAAATGACAAAAGATGTCGAAGTGAATTTGGATAAGCTGCTCAAACACATATGCACAAAAAAAACTTGTTTGGATAAAACGGAAACATACTTTTCTCTCAGGTTCTGCAATTCTTTTTTCATGTCTGCATCTTCAAACTCAGAGTCATTGTCACTACTCACGTATGATGACTGAGAATGGAAAGAAGTTACGTTGATAGTTGGGATTTTTGATCCATGACCATTTGGAGAATTAAGGCCCTGTGAACTTGACTTTACTGACTTTTGCAGAATACATGAAGTCTTTTTAATGTTATCGTTTCCCAGTCTACTGCTCTGAGGAGACAATGGAGATGCAACTTGTTTTCCTGGAAGAGATTCATCTCCAGAATCACTGGAATCCTTTCCATAAAGGATATCAAAAGAGGAAGCTGTCTGCACACGGCGCAGAGATGACTTTATATCAGGGCTAGAAGGCTGATTGTCCAGATAAACATCTGGAGGTGCAGAATACCTCAAGGAATGCACAGATGATAAAGTTAATTCATCCTGAGTGCTGATCACAGAAAATCTGCCTATAGTTTTTGCTGGTGTTTCTGCTTCTTTGACATTGGAATCTATAGAGCCATCTTTTTGAGATTTGTTTCCCTTTTCAGGTAATACATTGACATTTTCCTTTTCATTCCTCTTAGCAATGTCCTTCTGGTCTGCTGTAAGTGAAGAAGAAACAACCTGAAATAACAAATGGAAGAAAGGCTTAGTTGGTTTATGTCTGACCTGCTTTTAAACATTATTTTTATAGAAATTAATAGTGGCCTTCATTAGCTGCAATTGTCTGAGGAATGAGATAAGATGTAGGGGGTAAAAAAACCAATATAAGATCACAGTACCTGAGTGTATCCTGATGTTAGGATAGTAGGTGAACTGACATTTGCATCTTGACCTGTTTAAAATATTGGAAACAAACAAAAAAGAAAACATGCATATATCTGGATTGGTAAATTTTAGAGCAAGGCAAAAGTTAAATATGCAAAATTCTTATTTAATAAAATCCTCAAAAGCCACAACTCTAGTTACACTGTTGTATTCAAGACTACAGGTCAGATATATATGAATTAAACATAAATCATGCTGTTATGGTAGATCCAATGCTTGATATCATCGCTTGATATGACATAAAGATTATAATTCAATTAGCTGAGCATTCTATGCAATGTCTAATATAATCTATTAAGAAGGCTTAAAGAAAATAGAATATTTCTTACAATCATTCAGTAAAATAATGTTGAAATATGCATTACAGAAAAATGATACATGATCTTCATAAAAAAAAGTGACATTTCAATTTTTTCTACTTAAAATTAGTTCAGAAAAAAAATGTCCCCCTGCTTTCCACATATACAATAGGGAACAAACATCACAGTTTCCTAATTTGCCCATTGGATTTTCCTGGATAAAATTACTTGAATAATACATGTATACAAATATGTAAAAGATACATCATGTTGTTTAAGCATGTAAGTTATATGGTTTGGCTTCCCCACCATAAGTAAAAGCATTACTTATATAGCATTCATATTTAACCTATTTCATATATTAAAATTATCATAAATTTCCATACATAAATTTCCATGAGAATTATACATTAAATTTTATTTTGAAATTACTACATTTTGCATTGCTATGTGGTACACGCATTCACTAATTCCTAGTTTTCTTAATCAATATATCTAATAACCTACTACATGTTTCTTGTTCATATGGATATTTAGAAAGAAAAATGGACATTAAAGTTATTCTCTACTACCTGCTTTGTTTATTTCTGAATGCTGGATCCCGGTACAAGTAACATCAGATTGTTCTACCTATAAGCAAAAGCATAACAATTTAAATTAATCTTTCAAAGTTATAATCTGTGTAGAAATATATAAACTCTAAAATTATTTTTATATTTCATCTTAAAGCAAATCACTCTTAAGTCACTGATTTGCATTTCACATTTCACTGTTTGGAAGCTTCATTCCCTTCTGACACCACATGGTTAATGTTTAATATATTAGATTATTATACTGTCCCTCTTCCTGTTTTTATTACTTTGAGTTCACAGTACTGTAGAGTAGTCTTCGCAAAAGGAAGGGAGTCAATTTTCCCTTTCCCTTTTATTTTGGGGGTGGACTTCACTCACATGTTCCTAGCTCATAATGTACCACATATGGTTATGTTAAAATCAGGGAAAACAGGAAGTAGTACATTTATTTGATTTCTAAAGTGCCACAACCACATAGCTCTTGGCAGTATAAGAATAATTGCAAACTTAGTTAAAAAAATTACACGGACACATATGAGTACACACACATATTTGTATGCATAATTTACTTTGGCTCTAGGATTAATTTACATAATGATTTCATTTTTGACATATATCCAGGATATAATTGAGAAAAAAACTTTTATGTTTGACATGTCCAAGACATATAGGAAATCCTCGCTACAACAGTTCATTTAGTGGCTGTTCAAAGTTACAACAGCATTGAAAAAGTGACTTATGATTTATTACTTTAACACTCAGCACAGTTGCAGCATTCCCCCATGATCAGGTCATCAAAATTCAGATGCTTCGCAATTGACCCGTATTTATGATGGATGCAATGTCCTGGGTCATGTGATCACCTTTTGTGACTTTCTGACAAGCAAAGTCAAGGGAAAAACCAGATTCACTTAACAACTGTGTTACTAACTTAACAATTATAGTGATTCACCTAACAACTGTTGCAAGGTAGGTCATAAAATGGGGCAACTTGCTTAACAAATGTCTCACTCAGTAACAGAAATTTTGGGCTCAATTGTGGGCGTAAGTCAAGGGGTATCTGTATTACTTTTTACCAGGTCCACGCTGTTCCAACTTTGATTAAAAATTGCCAAATATTCAAATAAGTTTCTTTCCCTTCTTGTTTGAATTTTTTTATGTCATGTTGAAAATGATCATAAGTATGGATTACAATAGCTGAGCCATTAAATTATTAAAAATGTTCAGCAATATACTCATATCTAAAGAACTTTTCCATGTAGACCAGTATGTGTTCCAAATAGTTGGAAGTCTCATTCTTTTGACTGGAACTGGAAGGTAATATTGAAGTCCTTTTCTGAAAGAAGAAATTTTTTCTTCACAACTCTACAGAACACCAATGAATTGGAACACCTAACAAATACTAGTAGGAAGTATTTTATCAGAAGAACTGAGAAGTTTTGAGAAGTTAGCATAATAATAGAATAAACTTAATAGAATAAAGCTTGGGTTAGGTTTTTGAAATGGGAGAGAAGGAAAGTTTATATAATTTTGTTTCAACTGGTATAAACTCTAGCAAAGTTTATGCTTTTTCACTCATGAAGGACATTTTTATCGAGTGTATTTTGGAATCCAGTGTTAAAAATCACGTATTTGGCTACTAAATGTGACATAAAATGACTGGCCTCCATCCACATCAGATCTAGTAAAGCCAAAGTGAGAAAAGACCAACTTTAAAGTGAAAAAGGAAATTCTGCCATGATAGATATTTTTTACTCAGGTCAATAAAATAAATAAGACTATGAGTCCCGATTCACCCTTATTTACTTATTTTGCATGGGGTTCTTAATATCTTTTAGTTTAAGATATTAAAATTGATTGAATAACCCTGAGTTCAAAGAAGTGTCAATGTAAATAAAGATATTATTATGAATGTGATGAGTTTTAAGTAAGGGGCATCTGATTTCTTTTTTTAATGAAGTTTTTGTAAACATGGAAGATTTACTCTCTTTTTTTTGAAAATGGAAGAAATCTTTAAAGGTTCTTTTAATATCTCAGTACTGACAGTTTGGCCCTTAGAAGTCAGCAACAGGACCAATGTTGAAAATATCTATTAGAACTACAGCAGTTTTAATAGGCATCCACATGACTTTTAAATGGTTTGACTTGCCAGAATTGGAGAGGGTTGATCTTCAGCCACATGAGCATCCAAGCCAACTCCAGGAATTTTCAAATCTAACACAAGTGCAGGCAAAGGTGCCAGATTAAATTCACCATCCACTTGGTCTGGTGTTGCTGCTGAAGCAGATGATGTTGGAATATACTCTTGATACAGCAGGTTGCGAAGTTTCTCGTCCAAACTTTTTATTGTGTTGTCAGTGAAATCAACTCTTGGTGGCCCTTCACCATCTGATTCTACCATACAAGGTGGCTGAGGTGCAGTCATAGCCGAGCCAGTGGATACCACTGGCTGGGACTGGGTTGGCATATGCAATTGAGATACAGCTGTTGAGAGGTGAGGAGGACTTGAAAGTTGAGATGTTGCTGAAACTGGAAGTTCAGAGACTGCAGGCATGGGAGGTATCTGGTCTACAAAAGAATGTGGTATCTGGCCAAGCTGAGTATTATCTGACAAACTGGGGGTTTGGGTTGAAGATTGAAGTTCCAAAACAGGAGCATCAGCGCTGACAGGGAAAGAATTTTCTGTTGTCTGCACAGGAGTAGACTGAAATGGTTTTGGCAGTCCAGCTGTGCTGTGTTCATGTTCTATATTGGGAAAGCAAGTTTTCTCATCTTTCTTTTGTACTGTGTGCTGTGAGGTTTTTAGAGGGACCTTATCCTCAAAATGTTCTTCAGATGTAGCTGCAGTATGGGCAGGGGTGTCTGACTGACTGGCTAAGACTGGTTGTGGCAAAGGGCATTCTAACTGACTTGTACTTTCAGCAATTTTTTCTAGTGTGGTTGAAGCTAACATTGGATGGACCTCTGAAAGGGAAGTTAATGAAGATTGTACAGAAACTTGTGTTAAAGAAGAAGGAGGAGTTCCTCTGGGACACTCATTGGAGCCAAGTTGATTAGAAATATGTGGATAAGCTAAGCTTGTTTGTTTTTCTGTCACTGCAGAGCTCTGTTGCTGATCATCCAACAGCTCCAGACCTATAAACAACAAAAGCAAAAGGATGTTTCTGAATTCGGAAAATGACTTCGTAAAATCTAAATACTTATACAAAGACTTCAACAAGCATTGAGCATTAGACATTTTTCCAAAGAAATTAAGAAAGATGAAATATTTTCTCAGCTAAATTATTTTAGATCGAACAATTATACATGCTTAATTGCACTGAGTGTGACAGCTCATCCTAGTGATTTTTTCTAATACAGCTCTACTGCACTATATTGGCTATTTACTATAATAACTGTCCCATTTTAACCAACTGGAAAATCAAAATTAATATCAAGGCATTCAGTGTACTACATAAAACCTTAAAAGTCATTTATGTGACAAGAACTTCAATTACATCTACATATCTAAAACAAAACTGATTCAGGGTAATGTCCATAAATGTGTACTATTTGCAGAAAGGTTATGACACTTATTTTCACAATGAAGTGATTCTGCCAATTATTTCAATCTTCATAGTTATTAAATAATTGAAAAAAATATTTTCTTCTAAAACAGCAGTTCTCAAAATGCAGTACCCAGACTGTTGCAAATATTTGATACCCTTCAAGGGGTCCAACAAGATAAAAATTAATTTCATAATAAACATGGATATTTTTGCCATTTTTACTCATTCTATCATGAACATATAATTGACTTTTCTAGAATCTACATGCTATAGGATGACACTATCACTTCGATAACTAATGGAGTGTGGTTGTGTGTTCATGTATTTTTTTAAAGTATTTTCTAAACTAGAAGGTTTGGGAGATAAATATGTGCATTTTCAGAATTAATTTTGTTCTCAGTACTTCTGTGTTTGTAACTAGCTATCTTCAATTAATTAATTAGTTTGTTTGTTTGTAGTCCATCTTGCTGCCCAATATTATTATGGTTGATCACATAATAAGCCAGATATTTAGACTGGATTTGACATTTTTGTCCATTTATCAAATCCTTCCCAAGGATCAAAGGGAGGTAGGTGTTGTTGTTTAATAATGTTCATTGTTGCTGCATTGTTGCAGGATGTAAGCTGTTCCAAACAAAGTTGCCTTTTGCAATTGATTGATGATGGTTTGTCAGTGATGATGGTGTTCAAGTGATGCTCCAGATGTTTTAGAATTGCACACAAGACACCTATTACTATTGGAATTATTCAGGTATTCCTTTGTCATTTTGTTCCTCAGCTTTTCTTTCATCCATTCAGCATTTGATCTTAGCATGCTGATCTTATTTCCCAACCTGTTCTTCAATTTTGGTGGTGGACTGATCAATGCAAAAATATTTTAATAGAACTTTAAGTGGCAATACAATTATATTTTTAAAGGTGCTCTGCTAGAACTTGCTGTAGAGTTGCATGGACCAGACAGATGTTGATTTCTTTAGGTAGAATGGGAGCAACTTAAATTTTTTGTGCACCCACTTTTGCCCAACCCATAGTTTAATAACTATTTTTATGTGGAACTGCATTCATCCTGAATGCATACACCTTCATTTTGACAATATGACTCACACAGAGTAGCTGTAGCCAAAAGTGTGGTGGTGTAATTGCAGCTGGCGCACCAGCTGCAATCCTTTCTGAGCCAGATTCACACTTACATCCTGTTTTCACCCCTTTCATGTGAATATGCCCTTGAAACACTGTAAAGGTATGGAAGGTGGCAGATAGATTGTAAACTTGGGGTCTCATTAGTTCAAACTTGTACACAGAGGATAATTTGTGCAATTGTGTTAATCTCTAAAATTCTAAAAATTCAAAATTTTATTATCTGAAGAACTGTCTCTCCCATTATGATTTGTGCAGTTTTCTGAAGAAGAAACCTTCTGAAGATGTCTCTCTTTCTAAGGCAATTAGCAGAGGTCCTTCATCTGCAAATATCCCAAGAATTACATTTTATCCTTAGTCTTCTATAACATCTTTTTCATGAGACTTTTAATTTTTGATTACTTTCAACTTTGAGTATAATATATAACTTTTTAATACATTGCATACTAATCACTATTAGCCATACAGATAGTTCTTTATTTACAATGGCAGTTGAGTCCAGAATTGTGTAAGCATCCACTTGAGAAAAAAAATGAAGCATGTATATATACTTGCATAAATTAATGAATGTGTTTGTACATATTTTTCCTTGTTTCCTACCCCTTAAAAGTAGCTTGAAAATTATTTTTTAAAAATATCAAAACCTCACATATACCTGGGGCTTCAGACTGCTTTGCACTTTGAGGTGCATGAGATGAGAATTCTGGTACTTCGTCAGCTTGATTTTCCACAACGGGACAAATGATAAACCAACGTTTCCCAGTATGCAGAACTAAAGACAGGAAACATTAAAATGATGAAACATTTGTACCAACAATTAGCCAAAGATCCCTTACTGCATACTGTATTGCATTACATTGCATAATGTAATATAATGTGATACTGTCAGTGTTCCAAGTAACGCACCCATTGAAATCAGAACTCCGAGGCAGGTAGATTCCTCAAAGAACATATTTATTGGATACATCATACAGCACAGCTAATGAAAAGCAACTCAAAAAGTTCCCACAGTTTTCACCTAATTAAAAGAGCAAAAGTTCCCCCTCCCAGATGTCACCAGTCACATTGTCCAATGAATATAGTTGGCAGGTTGCTTGGTCTCCTCCTTCAACAGCCATCTGTTAAGATGACCTTGGTTCCCACCGGAAAACTTTCTGTTGTGACAGTTAGTCGTCTATCTACTTCCCCTCTCCCTTTCCTTTCTCATGGCTGATGGCAACCATGAGGCAGATGGCTTCAGCCAGGTTTGCTTCAGAGTTGACAGATACCTCATTTAAAAATAACGTCTGTTAATAAAACAAATGAAGATTAATGACTGAAGTTCATCCTGGGAGATTAACGCTTGAAGTCCAATATGTAAAGCTATTCATAGGCTTTGTTAAGTTTCACATTTTATTTTCCGCCAAGGCTCTTCTCACAGCCATTGGCTCAGAACAATGAAAAAGCATCTCTGAAGAAATGCAGTGTCACAGCAAATTAGCGTGTTCAGTGCAGTGACTATTGGCTGGCTGACTTTGACACAATCTTAAAATATGTCATTAGTATAATTAAGTATTAACTTACAGCAGTGTTTCTCAACCTCAACAATTTCTAAGATGTGTGAAATTTACTTCCTGTCTGGGAGAATTTGCAGAGTTGAAGCTCACACATCTTACAAGTTGTTAAGGTTGAGATATGCTGCCTTCATATAGATGCATATTCAAACAAACACTTTTACCGTTCTGTTGGTAGACGGGTGTTCTTGCATGGGATTGGCGATTCTCCTATTTAAAATGAAAGAAGAATGTTACTAAAGGATGTCAAAGTATTGCCATTTGGAATCTGCTCAAATTCATCACCAAAAAACCCAAAATTCTAGCATAAATATAATTAAATACTTCTTCGCATGCTAGCTAATGGGAGTAATGTGTTGGACTACAAGTCCCATCATTCCAATCCATCCCAAACAGGCATGGTTTATTTCGCTGTGGATGGTGGGAGTTGTAATCCATAACTTCTGGAGGACATAAGTAAGTTATGTTAAACATTTATTGTTTGAAAAGTTTATTGTTTGAAACATTTAGCAGTTGAAACATTAAATATTATATTTATTTTATTGTTTTTTTTAAATACCTCATTGATTTCAAGCTTGTAGGTATCTTGCTGAGGGCTGACGCCTTGATCAGAACTTCGCTCCCCTTCAGTATCTTCACTAAGCATATCTTCTGCCTTGTCAATAATTTCTTTCAGTTGCTCAATAAATATCTCTTTCTCAGTTGGCAGTATAAATTCATTTTCAACCTATATGAATAGACAAAAAATATTTTTTTTAAACTTGAATCATGAAGGCGATTAAATTGCTTTGATTTTACTAGAGCCAATTAATTGAGACAACGGATTGTTACCAATAAATCAGAAGGCTATAATTGCACAGCAAGTGTTTCAGATAACAAATATTAAAAGTAGTGGTTCACTTATTGTTTGTTAAAGTAACAACTATTCTAAACTAATTCCCAGGGATGGGATTCTACCAGTTTGGCCCTGTTCTATAGAACTGGTAGCTTCCAAAGAGGAGCTGACACCAACCCGGTTTGCTGTGATGATCTTCAGGTTTTCTGTTTGGCCCCACCTACCCGCCCGGGTTCTAGGCTGTACTTTATTCCCTGCTTTTTCCTCCTAAGTTGCTTTGCATGGCACAGCTGAGTGCCGCTCGTCAGCAGGAGAAGGTGAATATTTGCCAGAGCTGGTAATTTGTAAATAGTGTGCAAAGCATGCACTCACCGAACTGGTTATGCTGGTAGGATTCCACCCCTGCTAATTCCCCTTTGCCTAGACTAACAGGAACATTAGTCAGAAATTAATTTTACTTAAACAGTTAATTTCCAAAACACTGGAAATATTTTTGCAACTATACAAATAGTACTATCATGCAATTTATGAAACTGAAATGTCAATATTATTTTAATATTCTTAAACCAAGAAAAGATCCTACCATATATGTAGCAATTTCCTCTGGAGCATCACCATCTAAATCAAATTTAAAAGTGACCATTTTGTGATTGTGTGTTTCTAGTTGGCATTCCACCATCTTATCCCCTGTATTGCACACCTGTAAAAAGAACCAAAGAGCCATTGTATTTAATACCTTAAAATTGATGGGTCAAAACTAGGGAAAAGAAGTAGTCTTACATTTAAAATGGTAAGCTTGGGCCTATTGGATTTTTCCTGGCGTGAACGAGCACGTGCTGATTTTTTGTGTTTCTTTGAAGGTTTTCCTTCTTGTTTCCCACCTCCACTTGTTCCTTCAAAACTGTCACTCATCTCTTTTCCAGAAGCAATATCAGGACTCCTATAACTTTTGTAGTAAGATGACAAAGCAGGATTAAAACAAGACAAAACATTATTAGCATACAGACCTACTTTAAAAGCCCACAAAGAACACTAATTTATCAGACATTTATCAGCAAAGATTGACCTTATCCAACATCATAATGATGCTAGATAAAAGAGAGGTTTTTAAATAATTATATAATTTATACAATTTTACTACATACATGCAAGAATCTGGGAATAATGGCTTTTATAAAGTAACTTACATAAACTAAAGTAAAATGTAATGGGCACAAATTTAATCAAACTTCTATTGAAACCACTAATGTTAACAATTTTTAAAAAAAACTGATTCAGTTTCTCCAGAATTCTAGATCTGTAGAAAAGGAAATAATGATTTCTCCCTATTTGAAATATCTCTGGTACCTTCCATAAAAGTGTTCTAAAGAAATGAGTGGAAGAGTGGTGGCCTTTGTTCTTTGAAGGAAGTACTATGCAAAATATAGTTTCAATGTTCTTAAAGAGTTGGCCCCAGTCTCTGTTTAAACTACTTGTTTCATCAATGGAAAGTTCTTCCTTAAACTGAAATGTTTCTCCTAAAGTTCCCACCAAGTTTCACCCATGCAGCTGTCTCTAGAATCATTCATGGAGAGAAAGCCTTTTCCTTCCACAAGAGATTTTTGATTTAGCCGAGAAATTCAACTAACTGAATGGGGAAACACATGTTAATAGATTCTTCCTTTCTGCTATAGATCTCTGTGTCTCAAAACATTTTTTTAGAAATGGTGTTGAGATTTTGTAGAAGGCTTTCAGGCTGTCTGAAAAACAGCTTCCTTACTATTTCTTATTTCCCATGCAAAAAGGGATGTGCAGCCACGAAGGATGATAATTATGCAGCAGTACATACTATTTTTAATTTGAAGGAGAAATGACAGTATTCAGTTTTATAGTCAGATACTGCATATCCATCAGTTTAATTTTATGTATCCATCAGGAGAAGAGGAAAAAGAGAGGTGATTCTTGAAAGAAGAAGGGACAATAACATCTATTATGATGTTTGTTCTCAAACTATTAACTGTTGATGAAGTAAGGCCAAGAACAACAATGAAGGTTCATTTAGACCTATAATTATTGAAAAGATTGACCTAAACAAAAAAGAAGACCATCAGTAAAATTTATTGACTTGATTGCAATAACAGTGATGGATATATTAAACTATATTGATAGACCTGAAGAATTCAACATAGTGACTAAATTAGTAGACCAGCAAAATACTGTGGACATAATATATTTAGATTTCAGCAAGGCATTCAACAAAGTAGACCACAACCTACTTCTTAGTAAGCTAGAAAAACGTGGAATAGATAGCACTACCACTAGATGGAATCGCAACTGGCTGACGAACTGTACTCAATGAATAGTCCTTAATGGGTCTAAGTCTACATGGAAGGAAGGAAGCAGTGGGGTGCTCCAAGGTTTTGCCTTAGGCCCACTTTTCAATATTTTCATTAATGACTTAGATGAGGGAATAGAAGGGGAACTTACCAAATTTGCAGATGATACTAAGCTGGCAGGAATAGCTAACACCCAAGAAGATAAACTCAAGATCCAGATAGATCTTGACAGACTAGAACACTGGGCCATATCTAACAAAATGAAATTCAATCTAGAGAAAATTAAAAGTCCTACACTTAGGCAAGAAAAACCAAAAGTACACATATAGACTGGGTGAAACCAGGCTCAATAGCAGTAACTGTGAGAGGGATCTTGGAGTCTTAGTGGACAACCAGCTAAATTGGAGCCAGCAGTGTGCAGCAGCAGCCAAAAAAGCTAATGCAATCCTAAGTTGCATTAACAGAGGATACAATCAAGATCAAGGGAGGTACTAATACCACTCTATAAAACCTTAGTAAGACCACACCTAGAGTACTGCATCCAGTTTTGGTCACCACATTATAAAAAAGATGTTGAGACTCTAGAAAAAGTACAGAGAAGACCAACCAGGATGATTAGGGGACTGGAGACTAAAACATATGAAGAACGGTTACAGAAACTGGGCATGTCTAGTCTAGTGAAGAGAAGGACCAGGGGCAACATGATAACAGTATTCCAATATTGAGGGGCTGCCACAGAGAGGAAGGGGTCAAGCTATTTTCTAAAGTGTCCATCAACAACCAAAGACAGACAGTGGGATGGAGCATGCAGGCGGGTTGCAGCCATCCCACACTTCCAATGAGCCAGATCACATGCCTCCTTTCCCATGCCAAACAAGATAAGTTCAAGATCCAGATGGATCTTGATAGGCTTGAACACTGGGCCGTATCTAACAAAATGAAATTCAATCTAGAGAAAATTAAAAGTCCTACACTTAGGCAAGAAAAACCAAAAGTACACATATAGACTGGGTGAAACCAGGCTCAATAGCAGTAACTGTGAGAGGGATCTTGGAGTCTTAGTGGACAACCAGCTAAATAGGAGCCAGCAATGTGCAGCAGCAGCCAAAAAAGTTAATGCAATCCTAAGCTGCATTAACAGAGGATACAAGCAAGATCAATACCACTCTATAAAACATTAGTAAGACCATACACAGTTTTGTTCACTACATTATAAAAAAGATGTTGAGACTCTAGAAAAAGTACAAAGAACAACAACCAGGATGATTAGGGGTCTAGAGACTAAATCATATGAAGAATGGTTATAGGAACTGGGCATGGCTAGTCTAGTGAAGAGGGGAGACATGATAGCAGTCTTCCAATATTTGAGGGGCTGCCACAGAGAGGAATGGGTCAAGCTATTTTCTAAAGCGTATGTAGGCCAGACAAGGAATAATGGATGGAAACTGGAGAAGGAGAGATTTAACCTGGAAATAAGGAGAAACTTTCTGCCAGTGAGAACAATCAACCAATGGAACAGCTTGTCCTTGGAAGTTGTGAGAGCGTCATCACTTGGGACTTTCAAGAAGAAATTGGACTGCCATTTGTCAGAAATGGTGTAGGGTCTCCCGCTTGGATGGGGGGTTGGACTAGATGACCTGTAAGGTCCCTTCCAACTCTGATTATCTGTTATGTGTTATTACTTAGGGACCTGGATAAACAGATTCTGGGGGGGGAAAAACCCATATCCATGTGGCTCTAAAGTTAACACCAACTTGATAGCACTTCATCATCACCATCATCAGAGCTTAGACAAAAAGAGATATAATTGCCATCACAAAATGAGTATGCATTTTAGAAATTACTTAAGATTGTTTACTCTTTTACTAGATATTGATGTAATTTTTCAAGTGGTTTGAGAACTTTATGCCAGGTTATAGACAAATAGAAAAAGTACCTTTCACAGCTCTGTGACAGTGACTGCTGCTTCTCCAGTACTGCTTGCTCCTACATTATAAAGAAGAAATAATTATTTAATCTAAATTTGTTACATTTTGAAGATTGATATCAGTTTTCACTTTATTTTCACTTTATCAACAAACAGAGCCATTTTGAGCATTTGAACAGTTTAGAATTAAGTATTGGCCAGGTTTATGCCAACAGTCCAAATTATCTTTTGGAGCAGAATTTCTCTGAGCAAATTACTAGATACATTGACCATGAGGCTGTTAGAGACTAGATACATTGACCCTGAGGCAATAAGAATTATCATGTACTGCCCCGGTACAAAATGTTAGCTGGCAATATCAGGAGAATCAGGTTTTAGCTAAAATCTAACAAAATTTCAGCCCTCTTCATAGGTATAAATGTCCATATACTTTCTTTTTCTTCCTAGCATTTTGCTGCAAGTGCGGGGACCACTTTTCTTTTGAACAATTGAGTGTTGATTCATTGGTTCCAACAGGAATTGTCCAACCAGCTTGTTGGTCAAGCCTGAGTGACTGGCCCAAAGTCACCCAGCCACCTTTCATGCCTGTCAGGAGTAAAACTCAGTCTCCTGATTTCTAGCTTGGTGCCTTACCCACTAGACCAGGGATGTCAAACTCGCATTGTCATGGCAGTGTCCCATGATGTATCAGGACTTTATTCCCCTCCGCTAAACCGGCCTGGGCATGGCCAGCGTGTGACACATCTGGCCTGTGGGCCGCGAGTTTGATAGCCCTGCACTAGACAAAACTGGTTCTCATGAGTGTCCATATACTGCAGTGCATGTATTATTGCTATCTGGGAAAACTGAACTCTAAGTAAACAAAAGTTAAGGGCAAGAAAAGATGTGGAAAGACAACAAATACAGGAATAAAAAAATTAAGTGATTTCAAAGTACTCAGATTTGGACATAGTGAAATAAACAGAAAATAGAGTGAGTTTTGGAGGATGTACCCATGAAATTGAAATACAGCTCTTTTAACTTAATGATTTTTGTTATAGTTAGTAACACTTGAGAATACATACCACCTCTTGAGGAGGTTCTGAAACTGGTCCTGTAGTTGGAACCTGCTGGCCAGGAAGCTGGTGACTGTCTGACTGAGACTGTGGGTAAGCAGAGCATTGAAGGGGCAGTCCGTGATCTGCCAACATTGCTGAATTAGTTGTGCCAAGATTGCTTTGTGAAAGTCCATCTGAAGCAATACGGGGTAGCATTGCTTCAGGCTGCAATTGCAATGGTGGTGATATAATGGCAGACGCCTGCACTGGCAATGCAGGTATATGGGTTCCAATATCCACAGCATACTGAGGATGTCCAATAATCTGTTCCAAAAAATCAAATGTGTACTTAATCTAAATTCTGTTAAAGACTCACTAGCTAAATCAACATTATTAAAAATAGGTCCTTGTTATACTGCAATGAAATGGATGGATGGATGGATGGATGGATGGATGGATGGAAGGAAGGAAGGAAGGAAGGTTTCATGGAAGTGTGAAATGCAAGCAACTGAATTTGGTCACCACAACAACTATTGATTATTAGGATCTGATTTTTTTTACCTCATTGGTGCAAGTTAATATCTTATAATGAACATGTACATAACTGAATTGGCACATCAAGTTTATAGACATTTACAGCTACAATATGAAGTAGCAACTATGAACCAAAATACATTAATGTATATTTAAATATATACCTAAATATCCATTAGGGTAAATTGAATTGAAGTAACTACTAGTTAGAGAATATAAATAATTCATATAAAAGTATTATCCAAGAAGATTGCCTGTCCAAGAGTGTCCAAGTTAAGTATAGCTTCATTTCAAGCTGTTATTTCAGTAAATTGAGGCAATATTTAAATCAAACTGAGTAAATGTGGATTGTAGGCTTTTTATGCAATTAATTTTGTCATATCCAAGAAGTAATAATATCATTCATATTTTGTCTGAATGCTGTGAACTCTTTAAGAAGTCTGCCCCTTGGATTTGGGCTTTTATACAAAGTGATAGCTATTTGAAGGTACTTCAAATGTTTACTTGAGACCAAACAGAGCAATCCAATGCCATCCATTTCATAATTATGACCGTGGATTATGTCATGGTATTACCTGTATAATTAAACTTCAAATTAAACTAATCTTTTAGGCTTAACTAGTTTTTTGCATATGTTTAGCATATGTCAATAATTGCCATAAAGATTATATATACCAAAGCATCTATAAGGTTACATTTTTATAAAAATGATAAATGAGAGTTCTTTCATTTATCTCTATCATTATGGGGATTTTTATTCTTGCTCAATCTATAGTTACTAAATCAAGCTTTACCTGAAGAGGAAACTGAAGAATAGATGTGATATAGAAACAAACAGCGAAGGCAACAGCGGCAAAGGAAATTATAGAAGAAAAAGATTTTTTAGTACTATATAAATTATTATTGTTCATATATTATATGTTAGCCAGTTCTAGTTGCAGTGGGATATAAATTTTATGTATAAATGACACATTTTGCTAAAAAGAAGTTCCCTGAGGATGGGCTCCAGCATGAGTCTGAAAGCTCAGAAGACTAAACCGCTGGTCCCAGTGACTGAGCCAGATTAGATCCTGCAATATAAATGTCTTTCTTTCTTTCTTTCTTTCTTTCTTTTCTTTTCTTTTCTTTTCTTTTCTTTCTTTCTTTCTTTCTTTCTTTCTTTCTTTCTTTCTTTCTTTCTTTCTTTCTTTCTCTTTCTTTCTTTCTTTCTTTCTCTTTCTTTCTCTTTCCTTTCTTTCTCTTTTTCTTTCCTTCCTTCCTTTCTTTCTTCCTCTCTCTCTCTCTCTCTCTCTTTTATATCTGTCTACCTGCCTGCCTGCCTATCTATCTCAATTTATCAGTTGTTATACCATATAGAGAAAATATGACAAACATTTAACAACTTGAATCATTTTACATGATATCAGCAAATTTCCATGATTTTTGTTGGGTGTGAAGTGAACATTTACAGTAATAGGAACCAATGACATAAGTGAAATGGAGACAGCTTGAATGTCCTTATTTTTCATCTTTTGGAGCAAGGTATAAAGTATATGTATAGATTTTCAATAATGCCTCCAGATCCCATATGATAACAAACACAGTCTGAATCAAAACTGATACATGACATCAGTGAAAGATATCTCAAATATTTAAAGAAACACCTTGGATGGTACAATTAACATTGAAGTGAGTCAGAATAAATATTATTGATTCATTAGAGGTTAGACTATGACCAGGTGAATACAAATTCTTCCCAAACAATTTTTATGTACCAAATTATGTGGCTGAAAACATTAGATGTAGTACAGTAAAGTTGGACGTACAAGAACAATAGTTTGAGATGGAATGTTGTGCTCTTAAGGTGGTAGATGATAAATGATAAAATGCTATGATTTCTTATAACATTCCTGTTTAAAAGAAATCTTCCATCTTTTTATAAACTATTTTCTTCTCCATCCATGCTTGTCTCATGTTGCATTACATTACCTAATAATCTTTTATATTTAAAATTAGAAGCTTCTATTCTCCTGAACTTGAAAAAAATGTACACACACACACAATCTATACACCTACGGTATATAGATATATATGTATCTTCAGCCATTGTTTAAATTTTAATTGCGATAAGAAGGTATTTCTTACCATTAAATGTTTTTAAATTGTTCTAAAATTCTTCTTTGTAAAATAAATACCTACTTTTAAAGAAACCGGCATGCACTTAAATTATGCTATTCTACTAATTTACTTATAAGAGATTTACTTTCATTAAGAATTTATTATCATTTTATACTCTGACTGCAGTGACATATTGGAAAACACTAACTATATCTGGAAATTAAAAGGGTTCTTCATTTCTGAGAAGAAATAATGTCACCTCCTGGGACAGAAGTTTTCACTTTAGGCCCCTTAATCATTCTTTGACATTTCCTTTTCAAGCTGTCCTTCATATTTAGTGTTTCACTGTTCTAATCAATTCACTTGATTATCTTATCTTGACATTAATCTTCCAAATTTCTTTTAAAATTTGAACTATCTAGAAGAGAACTTGGAGAGCTTGGAGAACTACTACTATGATCTAAACCCATGGAAATCCAATGTCAAATAGATTACCTGATTACCAGCCCCAGAAGCAGACATAGCCTGTTCTGAAGGAGGAATTATGCTTGGCTGGAGTGACTGTGGAAGTGAAGACAGCATCTGTTGCTGCTGTTGTGAAACTGCTTGCATATTCTGAGTGTGGAGGGGAGAAGACATAGCTTCGTTTTGTATTATCTGCTGGAGGGTAGCCTGGTACATTTGTTGTTGGGAGAGCTGGGCTGCTGCATGATGTGTTGGTAAAGCTGACACTCCCGGTAGAGGCATAGAAATTAATGGTACTGTAGCATCTGGCATATTTGGCACAATTGTTTGGCAGGGTAAGACCAAGGAAGCCACAGTAGTATGAGGAAGGTTGACTGCTTGCATGGGGAGGGCAGGGGAATTGGATGACAGTGGCAGAGCTGAGTTCACAGGAAGGCTTGGTATTATCACAGCTGAAGGAAAATACTGAGAAGGAGCAGGGACGGGGGTCATATTTGCAGCAGGTATATCAGACAGGTTTGAAGGATGAGTGTCAAGTCCTGCCAGAGGGGTGACTGCAGGAATGATGGGGAACTGAGGAATCTGGAAGAAAATATATTATACAATATAAATTGCGAGAGAATTCCCAGATGACATTAAATCAATTCATTTGCTTTATATTAATAAAATGATTCCGCCTTTTAAAGCAAACCAGAGTATTTAGAGTTGGGTAGTGCCTAAATTGTAAATTCAATCAATACAATGAAAAATGGTTCCCATTTATTTTTTCATGAATGTAAATTGTCCCAGAACAAGTGCAGGATAGGCTTTCAAAGCAACTGCATGTTAAAGGACCAATCCAAAATTAATACAAAGGAAATAAATAAAGCATGCAGCAACCTATCAATAATCACTCATTGCATTAAAAGAAACATTTTGGGCAAATATCTGGCATGCACTAATAGTATTTGATTTCACTTCAGTAGAGTATTATGTTGCTCTCTCAACTAATAAGCTACCCATGCATAAGCATAAACACTTCATCTGCACTAAAACTGCTATAGTTTCAAAGTTTCTATTAATTAATTATACATATATTGCATGCAACCTAGTATCTTCCTCCTAAATTGAACTCATGTGATGATTTTGAATGATGTGTTGCTGGACTATAAATGATAAAATTCAGCAATATTCAGAATGCAGATTAATTTGTGCATTAGAATTAATAACGAGGTAGCGATATAAGTAAAAAACAGGTGTGGTTATATGACACAAGTTAAGGTTATGAAAACAAAAGAAGATCTTGCAAACTGTTAAAATAAGAATACTTTTAACCTTGTAACCTCCTTCTTTCTTTCTTCTCCTTTTCTTTTTCTTTCCTTTCTCAAAATTCTTTCCCTCTCTGCCTCTCCTCTTTTCTTTCTTTTTCTTTCTTTTTCTTATTTGTGTATGTATTGTGACTGGTTTTAATTGTAAAAATTAACAAACTATATTTTTTTTAAAAAAGAATTAGTGCAAAAAATTCTCCATTGCAGAGAATATGATCAGGGTGGGATTCTACCGGTCCAGTAAAAGTTGCATCTGGTTTGCCGAACTGGAATTTGAACTGATTGGATGGCCCTGCCCACCCCACCCAGGAGTCTCTACGCAGCCCATTTTTGATGCAGGTAAGTGCAGGGTTCGCGTGGAGGCTCTGGGAGTGGGAAAAATGGGCCTTCCGGAAGTCCGGAAACAGGGCTGTTTCCGGCTTCCGGAAGTCCTTCAGAACCCGGGGGAGGCTGTTTTCACCCTGCCGGAGGCCTGAAGAAAGCCTCCGGACCCTTGGGAAGGTGAAAAATTGTCCTACCATATAGGAAGTTATGAAATGGGCCTGTTTCCAGCTTCTAGAGGGTCTCCAGAGCCCGGAGAGGCCATTTTCGCCCTCCCAGAGGCTTGAGGAAAGCCCCTGGACCCTTGGGAAGGTGAAAAGTGGCCATGCCCACCCAGCAACTGGGCAGCAAATTGGTTGCTGGGATTTTTGAATTCCACCACTGGATATGATGCTGCAGGAAGTAAGTATGTCTAGGGTCAAGAGTGGGTAAGAACAACTTATTGTGTCTATAAGAACAATACAGAGAATGTATGAGCTTAGCAAGCATAACAAATGGGATTCAGGCTGGGAGGAGCATATTAAAAATGATAAATTATAATACATTATCAATATGAACAAGCATTTAAGTAATTCCAATTATTTAAAGCAGGATAGCAGCTGTAAGTGTATATAAATGATGCTATTCACAATACAAATAAGTAAGCATAACAATGTTCAACATTATACAACTTTGACAAAACCATTATTTAATATACCTTCACTGATATCTTATAGCTTTGATTTGAGATATTAGTTTCACTCATTATAACTATACAAAATAATTTGCAGGCTCATTTTTCTTTAACATTAAAAATAATCCTAAACTTCTATTATTGAAATAGTGAGGTTTAAAAATAGATTATTTTGTAACACAGTTACAGGAATAATTAAAATGCATGTGTACTAGATTTACTTAACTGAGTTCTTGGAACTACATCATGTCATAGATCAGCTTTTTCAAACCTGGTCCTTCCTAGATGTATGTGAATGGCAACTTCAAATTTCCAAGAAGCTTGGGATTTTTGGAAGCTGCAATTCTCTCATATCGTTTACATCTCAGATGTGTAAACATATAGCTAGTCATTTATAAGGTAAGTGATGCTTTGATAATGTCCATGCCCTTGTTGAATGTGATCAGATTTTACAACAAACATCCTGCTTGTGAAAACCCTAATTCATTGAATGCAATCATAGTTGGAGCTTGTACCTGTCCATATACTCCAACACTTTGTATCTGTAGTTGCCTAATAGCTACAAGTAAGGTGTAAAAACACAGAGAGCATCACATATTCTTTGAGGTTTCTGGGAGGGTTCATTTGGGCAAATGTGGTTCCACAATTACAGGAAGGTCAAAATACAAACAAATAATTTTCCCCATGAAGCTACAAAGCTACAGCTGGAAAGAAAGAGGAATCATTTGCACTAAGGGTAAAGTCTAGAGAAAAAAAAGGGGATGGGAAATGAAAAAAGCAATCTCTGGTTTAATTTTGATTTTATTGTATTCTGAAAACCTTAACCAGGACTCACTTTTGAAGCTATTTAGCTACTTATGACAAGAACTGGGGGCAGGAATAATTGAATCAAAAATATTTGTATGATATCATCTCTGTGATGGCTTAGTAAGACCACACTTGGAATCGTGCATCCAGCTTTGGTCGCCACAATGTAAAAAAGAAGTTGAAAGTCTAGAACAAGGTCCCTGGTCCGTGGACTGGCAGTGATCCGCGGCATGTCAGAAATTGGGCTGTGCAAACAAGGGAAGCCACATCCACGGGATGCAGGCAGCACATGAAACCACAGAACCGGTCCCAACTGCCTAAAAGGTTGGGGTCCACTGCTCTAGAAAGAAGAACAAAGGTGATTAGGGGACTGGAGGCTAAAACATATAAAGAATGGTTGTTGGAATCGATTATGTCTAGTTTAATGAAAAGAAGGACTCGGGGTGACATGATAGTAGTGTTCCAATATTTAAGGGATTGCCACAAAGAAGAGTAAATCAACCTAGTCTCCAAAGCACCTGAAAGCAGGACAAAAAGCAATGGGTGGAAACTAATATTATAGAAATAAGCAACCTAGAATTAAACTAAGGAGAAATTTCCTGACAGAGCAATTAATTAGTGGAACAACTTGCCTCCACAAGTTGTGAACGCTCCAACACTGGAAGTTTTAAGAAGAGATTGGACAACATTTGTCTGAAATGGTTTAGGGTTTCCTGCCTGAGTAGCGGGTTGGACTAGAAGACCTCCAAGGTCCCTTCCAACTCTGTTATTTTGTTATCTTGGTGGTAGTCAATCTGGGCTTTTCCTATTACATGAAAGGACTTAACAAATAGGAATTGCAGAAGAAGAATCACACATTCTGCTTTATCTCTTATTGTTTATCTGATACAGATTGCACTACAAGTCTACAATTAAACTGTTACAGCCTCATCTGCCATCTATTGTTTTTTCCTGAAAAACAGAGGAAGTAAAATTAGAACTGGAATAAATAGTAGAGGAACATACATTAAAAACAGAAGACTGAAGAAATAAGATACAAGTGGGAAGAAGCCCCAAAATACACCAGATGGCAAGGTTCTTTTGGAAACTGTGTCAGCTGAAATGGGCCAGTGGAGTTCTGTTTCCTGAAGTGGAGTTCCGTTTCCTTACACCAAATAGTGGAGGAGATATTGGAAAAACAAACAGAGCCACCAAAGAGAAAAGACAAGATCATGGCTTTCTAAATGGGAGTCAAAGATGGGGGGGAGGGAATCCCCTTTCCAGAATGAGAAAAGGGGGCAGTGTGTTTATCACCTTCTGAGCCAGTTAAGAAAGAGCCAAATAAGGGTGGAAGGGAAGAGAACTGGGTTGAAGAGGGTTTGGGGAATGTAAAGCTTGGGAATGCATGATTGCATTGAGTGCAGCTCCCAGATGCTGTACTTGATTGTCCTTGGTGAAGAGATGGTTATTTTGCATGATTGGAGTGTTTGGGAGCATGAGCTAAGTAGGTGAGGACTGTGTTTCTCAAGCTTGGCATTTTTAAGATACGTAGAGTTCATCTTCCAGAATTTCCTAACTGCTATCTTAAAGTTGCCAAGGTTGAGAAACTCTGGCTAAGGGGGACAGAAATGGGGGAGAAAATCAGTAGGGGAAAGTATAAAAGAAGATTTGAGATGGAGGAAGAGACATCCCAGGAAAAACAGGATTGGAAATTTGTACTTCCGTGCCAAAATCATGACACATGAGCCAGACAACTGAATGGCTGAGCATTGTGGGCTCATGCTGATTGTTTCAAATGTCAGCCGACAATAAACTTAAGTCTTATATATGATTTAATTGTGGATGAGAGGACAGACTAGATGTGTGCCACTGAAGAAGAAGAAAATTCTACTTAAAGAGATTCTGATCCATCCATTCCTCAAAAGGCCTGGATCAGATCCAATGGAAAATTCTTTTTCCAATCTCTCCTTCTTTGGGAAGGTTGTGGAAAAAGTGATGGGGGCTGCAGTTACAGAGAACACAAATTATCTCAAGTAATGTCAGTCCAGATTCAGGCTCAGCATGAATCAAAAAACACACTGGTTGCTGTCGGGGATGACCTGAGCTAGGATTTGGATGGAGCAAATGCAACTGTCATTGTTTTCCTAGATCTTTTAATAGCCCTCGATATTGGACAAGATTCATCTGGGCAGGCTATGAACGTCAGAATTGGGGTGATAGATAGGGAAAGGTCTGGCTTTCTGATGCTTCATTGTGGACTGTTATAGTCCTATCCCCTATCCTGTTCAACATCCACCTAAATCCACTGAGAGAAACAGCATATCAATTTGGATAATATGATACTAAGTTGCACATCTTCCACTGAGCAAAATGGATGAGGCAGATACCATGACCTGGTCAGATATCATGGTCTGGGCTTGTGAGGATGTAGATAACTTTTCTCAGTTTCAACTGGTGTTCTACTTGTACACTTACCTGGCATTAAAACGCATGGCGGACAGCAATTTAGTAATCATTTAGATGACTAAAAAACTCATTTAGATTACAAAAGCCAAGTGATACTTGAAAACATTTCCATGTTTCTAGCAATATGAAGTCTCCATGCCAAAATAAGGAAACCTTATTGAGTGCTACAAAGCACTTACTTGAGCAGGTGGAACCGGTGGAAGTGATTGCACAGAGGGGACCTGCAGAGGTGCCAGTGGTGCACTGGTAGCTGCCATATGAGAACTGGGCGTTTGAAACTGGGACAAAAGATGAGGTGCAGGTTGCTGTACTGGACACACAGGCTGGTTGCTGAAAACTTGCGGTAAAGGAGCTGGGCTTGAGATGGACTGCTGATGAATTAAAAAAAAAGATCATATATAAGTTTTTGAAGTACTATCAGCATGGATTGGAGAAGCACTCATATGCAAACAACAAACAAGCAACAAACTTACTTTTTAAAAATACGGTTAATCTACAAAATGAACAATCCGAAGCCATGATGAGAGAGGTTAAGAAAAAGGAATGCCATATATGTATGCAATTCCATTTTTCTGCTATATTCTGAAAGGATATCAATTCCAGTTTTTTAATGCCTTTTGGATGGCTATGTCTTAATAATCATGGCTCCCATTTCTGAATTGGCAAACTATGATTACCAATTTCACAAAAAAGCCAAACTCTTAAATCAAATTGCAACCCAATATTCCAACTGATGATGATGATTATTATTGTTGTCTTATTTTAACCTTTTAGTATGTTTGTAAGCTACATACAAGTCAAATAAATGAAATAAATAAATTGTTCCAAAGCTGACTTGGATACCTTTACTTATGCAAATGTATGCCCAAACTCAAATTAAACATTGTTTGGAAATAATGTTATGCCCATGGCTAGATACTTCTCCCTTTCTCATGATCATTTTCACCTACTGGTGAAATAAGCCCAATAAATTTTATTTAAATAAAATAATAATAAGGAGTGGGAGAAAATGATAAAACTGTCCGTTGACAGGCGAAGAGAATATATAATAGAAATAACATTTTTAGAAGTCCAAATAATGAGGTTTGTTTTCAGAGAAACAAACTTAAAAGAGGTCAGGAATTAATCTTGAGTTTGTTATAGGGTGAAGAAAGAAATTAAAGCTTTCTTACTCTGTTGCCCTACAACCCACAGGGGAGATTTTAAAAGTCCTGCTGATGGTTGTGGCAGCATAATCAAAGCCCTGCCCTTTGTACATGTGTGCAATGTCATTTACAATTCAAAAGGAGCAGGATTTCAATTATATCACAACTGCCTTCTTGATTTGATATTTCACCATAGATGCTTGCTGCTGTCCTACTTTTTAATTTACTCATTAATCCATTGCTGCACTTAAAATTTGCTAAGAAACCTTTCCATTACAGTATAAAATGGACAATCAGGTCTATAACGCAAGTTACATAGTGGTTTTTAGCTTAACAGTTACCTAAAAGGCAAAAGGAGAGCCAGTGAGGGCAACAGGCTAGAAACCTGAAGACTGTGAATTCTAATCCTGCCTAAGGCATGAAGTCACTGGTTGACCATGGGCCAATCACTCTCTCTTGGCCCTAGGAAGGAAGCAATGGCAAACGACTTTTGAAAATCTTGCCAAAACAAGAACCTCTCTAAATAGTTGCCAGGAGCATATTTTGAAGGAGGGAGGGGGAGGGGAAAGATAAAGGCAGAACATATCATTTCTCACCTGCTGGCTGACTAATACAGGCTGAGGTTGTCTCATCTGCACAGGGGCAACTGAGGTGGGATGGACAATAGGAAATGGAATTGCTGGTTCTGGATAAAGTTGTGGCCGCGGAGGCACAACAGCAGTTGGACCCTGAACCACTGGAAGTCCAGGCTGGGAATATAGGTAGGAAGACATTACTTTAGAAACATATTGCCTATAAAAACTCTCCACAAAATATTTTATCATTCTGTCAGCATATAGTTGTTCAAATTATTTAGTCAAGTAATTAATGTTAATAATTCAGAATAACTAAGTAGATATATTGCTATGACAATGTTCATTAAAATAAAAATGTCCAGGGCACTGTAGGAATAACAGGATAAACACATGCATGCCCACAGGGGCAAAATACAATTGAACGGCTATTACATTATGGAAGAAGAAAACAGAGATCTTATAGCTACTGTTATTTTTTGAATATGCAGATTAAACTCATAGGATTTATGGGAACAATGTATCTGCTCTTAATAAGAATGCATTTTGGAGTGTCACCGGATGTTACTTTTCCTTCAAAATGGAGCAACTCAACAGTTTCTAGAGATTAATATTTAAAACAAAAAAGAACTTGTTTCCTACATTCTTGACATCTAGGTTTAACAGGCAAAAATGTGAAGATTTCTGTAATCCTGGTAACTATGATCCACTTCCTTTGCATTTTTTTCTTTCTTGAACTGATTTTGGGTTTGCTTCCTGACATTGTAGAGTCAGTATGATGGAAACAACTATAGGTACTGCTTTGCATCAGAAGTAACAATAACTGATTTAGCAAAGCCATAATGCTGTTTCTGCAGAAGCACATATGAGACATGTGCAATCTTTTGTTATTGGAAAAATCAGAAGGGTTATATTCAACTGCCTGTGGTTCTTCCTGCCAGGATATTCTATTTAGTTTTCTGTTAATGTCACTATAACAGAAAAGGAGAAAAATATGAAGGTCTTCCCAAATAACCTGGTTTACACTGTGGAGTTCCAAGAACACAAGCCACTTTTCATCTTTGAAAAATATTCTATCCTGAGAAGGAACTATAAAAGTACTAAAGCACAAGTCTTTTAACACAGCCGAAAGAATACCTGACCCCAAATGCTATTAAAAAATATATGAAGAAATATGTCATTGACTATATAAACAGCAAGAGTGAAATAACTTTCAGAATCTGTATGTACAATGTTTCTAAAATAGATTTTCCACCCCTTTGGCTTCATAGTACATAAAATAATAAGTAAACCAACATATATATCTTTGTCACTCCATTCATATAACCCATATGAACATGATCAAGGAAAATGGTTAGCTATACAGACTTCCAAGGTTATGCAGTTATTTAATCCTTTTTCAAAATTCATATGTGAAAATTGAAGAAGACCATACTTACTACTGAAGGTTGCTGGTAGGGCCCTATCTGCTGAAGACCATGTGGCAAAGTCTGGCTCTCACTGAGAGGTGGGCTATAAACACGCTGAACAGCTGGAGTTATTGCATCAGGAACTGAAGAGTAGATCACACTTTGCTGGCTACTCTGGGAGTCTGAGTACACAGTTGATCCTTGACCACTGTCAAATGTGCTATCGGCTGAAATATTGTTAATATTGATTTTTTAAAAACGTGAGTAGATTCATAAACTGAAAGCACTTAAAAGCATTACTCGTACTGGAGAGTACAAAGGCCACCCTATCTTACTCGAGATCTTAATTTGGAACTTTAGAAATAGCTTATTGTGTAAGGTCCAGGATACTCCAGAAGTCAGTCAATCTGAATCAATAATGAATCAGATCTGGTGCATGATGCACCAGGGCGGGGTGTGTGGGACCCTTATTTTCCCACAGTCAAAATTAGAAATTGATAAAGAGATTTACATAACGCTTCAACATGGCTGCAGGAAGGAACTGGGAATTTGTGTAATTGAAACCACTTAGCAACCCTTGGAGTAGACTGGCAGGGGATTCACTTCACTTTCTGAACAGATTTAAAACCACAGGATGGGTTTTTTTTTCCTGTTTAAGCGTTAAATTTCAAAGGTTGAAACAAAAGAATCTAAACCAAATCCATAAATATAAATGAGTTGTTCCCAACTGTATTTAACTGTATCTTGGGAGACAAGCCTTTGGGGAAATATAAAATGCAGACATGGTGGACTGGAGAAATTTTGAACAATTGGCAGTCTGTATTTCTTTCTACAAATGTTCAAATTTTCATAAGAATTTATCACGATCTGCAATCTAACCAACAGTCTAAATTTTCACTGGTAAATGTAACATTAAGAGCCTGTTTGGTGCAGTGGTTAAGGCAGAAAGCTGTGAGTTCTAGTCCCACCTTAGGCATACAGTCAGCTGGGTAATTTTGGACCAGTCTCTCTTAGCCCTAGGCAAAAGCTATTTCCAAAAATCTGCAGAGATTGCATTGCCAAGAAAACTGCAGAGATTAGTCCAGACAGTTGCCAGGAGATAACACTGATTCAAAGATATGCACACACAAAACAATGCTGTACAGGTAGTCATAGATTTACAACAGTTCGTTTAGTGACCGTTTGAAGTTACAACAGCACTGAAAATAGTGACTTTTGACCATTTTTCACACTTATGGCTGTTGCAGCATCCCCAAGGTCACATAATTAAAATTCAGAAGCTTGACAATTGTTATTGTGGTTGCAGTGTCCTGGGGTCAAGTGATCACCTTTTGCAACCTTCTGTCAAGCATAGTCAATCTGGGTAACCCAGGTTCACTTAACAATTAAGTTACTAACTTAAAAGTGATTCACTTAACAAATGTGGCAAGAAAAGTAGTAGAATGGGACAAAACTTACCTAACAAATTTCTCACTTAGCAACATAAATTGTGGGTTCAATTGTGGCTGTAAGTCAATTTGTGGCTGTAGTCTATTTCTACCAAATATTTGTTAGTGAGTTTCAAAGCGCCGTTCAGACTGATATTGCCAAGCTGTTTATATTACAGTAGTAATTTGAATTTTTCATTTATTTTATTTATTTTTTAGATTTGTTTGCCACCCATCTCGCCTAGAGAGTGAGATTTGACTTACATTAAAAGCCAATAAAACCATAAATATATTTCTAATAACTGTAAAAATTACAATGAAAAGGATGGGGGAAAAGGGAACAGCATGCCGGAGGGGCGGTGGGACTTCTCTTAAAACATCAACCACCTCCAGCAGGATACACCTGCCATTGAGCAGGGGTGGTAGTCAGCACGAATTATGTGAGGTTCTGGATATTTATGCTTTCCTTCCAGGAGAGAATAATGAAGCACCATAGGACCACTGAAAGTGGCCCACATTAAAAAATGCCACTAGACAATATCTAAGTTTGCTAAAGTATATAAATGAACTTGTTTTTATTTTGTATACTTCTAGTAAGGTTAAATGGTAAGCGTATCCCCCATATTCTACCAAATAAAATAATTTGGACATTATTATACCTGTTTCTATACAATAACAAATGATGTAAAAAGTGTAAAGCACTGCTTCCTGCTGCTATTACTTAAGAATATTAAAAATGTGTTGCGCATAGGCTACATTTTGGGAAAGTTCATGTCATTTGTGTTTGGAAAATTCATTTCTGGATTTTTTAATCAATCTTTCACTGATGAAAATTCACCCATGTCTACTTTATCATCTTTCCAAATTTAGAAAACAATAACTCCTTTCAATTTTACTTATCTAAGTTTATTGGGGGGGGGGGCGTGCGTTAGATACTTAATAATGTAGAGATGTTTATAGAATAGGAAAATATAATCTAATTATAGGAATCATCTAACCACAAAAATGAAGATATCTCTACAAAGCTGAAGCAGCAGTTGGGAGCCAAACTTGGATTCTGTTATCATCTGTTGTACACAGATGCTAAATTATTTATGTACATTTCTTCTGTATTTGAATATCACCAGCAGCATCAAGGAAATTATTTATAGGGCTTTTAGACTTTAAAACATTGTGCAAGCATTGGAACAACATATGATATCAAAACTTTACAGTGCTGAAAGAAACAATTGAGACTAGAAACTCAGAAAAAATATTTTTAAAATAATATAGTTATTATTGTTATTCTTTATAAAACTATAAAAACTATAAAATGATATTTCTTAATAAGGTTATAGTTTCTTCGCTATAAAACAGAGACTTTAATTTTTATCTAATGTAAATAAAATATATGTAAGTCTTCAATCAGCGGTCCCAGAGTCTTTAAATATTTTTACTAATATAGCATAAGAAAATTTGTAATTATTATCTTGACTAAACCTAGAACAGCATTTCCTCAGTCAAAATACATGTTGGCACACTTTCATACACAGTGAGCAGTCCTACCAACACTAGTTGGCATGGTTAGTGAGCATAATTAGCTTATTTTAGAAGAAAAATTCAATACAGTTTAAAGAGTTAGCTATATTGATGTGTCAGAGAATGGTTGATGGTCTTTTTTAACCACCACCACATGAGGGTATGTCCTCTGTCTTCCCATTTCTTACAATGGTATGATCACCACATGGCTACCATAAAGAAGGAGGGAGAAGAGCCTTTACTTGTAAACCGGCAAGGTAATGTCTCCCCTCAAATCCCAGGGGAATTCATTTCCTCCCAATGACTTTTTTCCCTGCTTTAAAATTGTTGAATGACAACCAATTGAATTAGGCACAATTCTAATCATAGCAAGACAGAAACTGTTTATTGTATATAGTATATATTTATTGTTCTTGTATATATTCAGCATATATTTATTTGTTCCTATCGAAGTCCATGCAACCAAAGTCCTGGCTGTATCAGTTCATCAGAGTTAGAATTCTTCAGAATTTTGGCATAGTAGGAAGAAGTTTGTGCATATTAAGTTCCAACTGGTTAGGCCAACAAAAACAGAGATGCTAATTCAGATGACTTATTAAGCAAATTAGGTATGGAATACTCCATGTTTGATAATTATTCCTATCAGCCAGATGGAGCAGGAGCTATTAAAGAGTCTATATTAACATACCTGTTCCTGCTAAACCAGAATCCTGAAGTGTTTTGGCTTACTGCAGTGCCCAAACAGGGCCAGTGACGTGCCCAAACAGGGCCAGTGACATCCATGTACAAATACATCCAATGTATCTGTACTATATCCTTATATACCAACGAAGAGCACATACTGGACTTACATGCAAGTGAAGTAATGCTTGTGGGCAGATTTTGTTGAGAAAGTTGCTGGTCCACTTCAGGCTCATCTGGTTCTGATGGAATCTGATGACCAGCATGAGAAAGGTGTGTAATCTGAAGTGGTTGTGCTTGTGTGGCCTTTGTTTTTTCTAAGCTTTCCGGGTCACAATGATCTTCTGAATGCAACATGGGCCAAATCCTCTCTCTTCTCCACTGTATTAAGGCTACTCTGTCACGTATTGATTTTGCAATTATTTTGACATCACTTTCATGAAAGAATCCGGCATCAACCTGAAATAAAAGATTTTCAAATCCATATTTTGAATGTATTTTCACATCATGGTGCCCCACATGCCCACTCCATTACCACTTTTAGTAACTGAGTAGTGTGCTACAGATTCTAAATCACCAGTCGGAAGTTTTGTATATGTGTGGCTGATTAGTTTGCAGAAATATTGTTTAGAATTAAATATAGTATCTAGAGATCCAAGGTTTTCGTTGATAAAATTATTTTCAAAAATAATTGAAGTTGTATCTGAAATATTTTTTTATAAAGCAGAGAAGGAATTGCAAAACTATAATCAATTGTCATAAATATTTTTATTAGTCATCATTGGCTATGAATAGTTATTGTCTGTATCACTATTGGAGAAATTTTAAATATTTTTATATATTTTAAATATTTTATATATTCCTAGAACTTTATACAAAATAAGTGGGGATTTTTTTTAGTCCAAATGTAACAGATGGTGAAAGGGAGGGGGGCATTTTTAGAAATAATTAAAACCAGTCATAGCTGGCATCAAAATCATACACAGTAATCTCGTCTGCTTCATGAATAAACCAAATATGAAATTTCTCATTTGCAATGCAAAGAAAAGCAATTTTTCAGAAAGAAGCTTCTATACTATATTTCAAGCAATTTCACATGCTGTAAATTTAGTTTTTCAAAATGATAGGCAGCTATGTCCAAATACCCTAGCACAGTGATTGCAGTACAATACTGTACTGCAAGCTAATTCTGCCCATAGCCTGGAGTATGATCCTGACCAGCTCAAGGTTGACTCAGCCTTGCATCCTTCCAAGGTTGGTAAAATAAGTACCCAGATATGCGGACATTGTAAACCGCCCAGAAAGTTCTGTAAAGCAGAGGTCCCCAATGTGTGGGCTGAGGCTGTGAGGGGATTGCAACCAGGCCGCAGATACACTGCTCAAAAAAATAAAGGGAACACTTAAACAACACAATGTAATTCCAAGTCAATCACACTTCTGTGACATCAAACTGTCCACTTAGGTAGCAACACTGATTGACAATCAATTTCACATGCTGTTGTGCAAATGGAATAGACAACAGGTAGAAAGCAGAGGCAATTAGCAAGACATCCCCAGTAAAGGAGTGGTTCTGCAGGTGGTGACCACAGACCACTTCTCAGTTCCTATGCTTTCTGGCTGATGGTTTGGTCACTTTTGAATTCTGGCGGTGCTTTCACTCTAGTGGTAGCATGAGACGGAGTGTACAATCTACACAAGTGGCTCAGGTAGTGCAGCTCATCCAGGATGGCACATCAATGCGAGCTGTGGCAAGAAGGTTTGCTGTGTCTGTCAACGTAGTGTCCAGAGCATGGAGGCGCTACCAGGAGACAGGCCAGTACATCAGGAGGCGGGGAGGAGGCCATAGGAGGGCAACAACCCAGCATCAGGACCGCTACCTCCGCCTTTGTGCAAGGAGGGGCAGGAGGAGCACTGCCAAAGCCCTGCAAAATGACCTCCAACGGGCCACAAATGTGCATGTGGCTGCTCAAACAGTCAAAAACAAACTCCATGAGGGTGGTATGAGGGCCCGACATCCACAGGTGGGGGTTGTACTTACAGCCCAACACCATGCAGGATGTTTGGCATTTGCCAGAGAACACCAAGATTGGCAGATTCGCCACTGGCACCCTGTGCTCTTCACAGATGAAAGCAGGTTCACACTGAGCACATGTGACAGATGTGACAGGGTCTGGAGACACTGTGGAGAACGTTCTGCTGCCTGCAACATCCTCCAGCATGACCAGTTTGGCAGTGGGTCAGTAATGGTGTGGGGTGGCATTTCTTTAGGGGGCCGCACAGCCCTCCATGTGCTCGCCAGAGGTAGCCTGACTGCCATTAGGTACCGAGATGAGATCCTCAGACCCCTTGTGAGACCATATGCTGGTGCAGTTGGTCCTGGGTGCCTCCTACTACAAGACAATGCTAGATCTCATGTGGCTGGAGTGTGTCAGCAGTTCCTGCAAGATGAAGGCATTGATGCTATGGACTGGCCCGCCCATTCCCCAGACCTGAATCCAACTGAGCACATCTGGGACATCGTATCTCGCTCCATCCACCAATGCCATGTTCCACCACAGACCGTCCAGGACTTGGGGGATGCTTTAGTCCAGGTGTGGGAGAAGATCCTTCAGGAGACCATCTACCAGCTCATCAGGAGCATGCCCAGGGAGGTCATACAGGCACGTGGAGGCCACACACACTACTGAGCCTCATTTTGACTTGTTTTAAGGACATTACATCAAAGTTAGATCAGCCTGTAGTGTTTTTTTCCACTTTAATTTTGAGTGTAACTCCAAATCCATGGGTTGCTAAATTTGATTTCCATTGATAATTTTTGTGTGATTTTGTTGTCAGCACATTCAACTATGTAATGAACAAAGTATTTAATAAGAATATTTCATTCATTCAGATCTAGGATGTCTTATTTTTGTGTTCCCTTTATTTTTTTGAGCAGTGTATATGATATATAACTTATCTTACTGCACAAAGAAAGAAAATGGTTCAAATTCTACTCTACATTCTTACACATATTGGAAACATAATTTGCAAAACTTCAAGTTATGCAACTTAATGAGTGCTAATCAAAATTTCTATCAGTTTTTGAAATAATGTGTTCTGATGATAAATTACTGTACTTCATTTCTGTGGATCGATTCATGGCTTTTGAGGATAGTTTGTACTGTATCTTTGGAATCAAATTTACTTTTTAAAGTTTGCCTAGGATGGTATTTGAGATTTATATTACATAGATACAACGCACAGAGAGAGAGAGGGAGGAAGGGAGGAAGGGACAGAGAGAGGCGGTGGGTGGGTGGGGGAAGAGTGTTAAGGGAAGTTTATTTTACCATTTCTTGTGCAACATCATCTGGAGTTTCTTTCTCCAGTTCAAAAGTAAACTCAATGGCTCCATTATCTTTGGACTTCCCTTTCAATTTCTTAGCATCTTCTACCCAGAGTCTTAAGGCAATAGAGGATTTTCTACCATCGTCTTCTTCTGCAAGTTCCACTCTCACCCCAGTATCCTCAGCAAAGAAGGCATGGCTTAATAAATCTTTAATTTCATATCTGGGGGAAAAAAAGCACACAACAGATATTAAGTCCATTTTTCTCCTCTATTCTTTAAGAACCAATCAGCTGTGTATTATTTTAGTATTACTGTTGATAATGCACACATATATATTAGAATATGTGTATTAGAACTTTCTTGGCACTCTATGTCTTTTTAAGTTTTAATGAAAGAGCAACTCAAAATTTGCTTTCAATATCTATAATATTTAACACAAAGATTTTTAAATCATAGTAGTAAAATAGCAAGTGTTTCTATAGCAACTGCTAAATGTGTGGTATAATAAACATCACACCATTTGTTTATTTTTATTAGTTTTTTTTATTTCAATTTCAATAGCTGCCCATTTGCCATTTGTGGCTAACAGAGAGTTAAAACACTTAACTATACCTTTTCAAATTTCTGTGTTTGTTTAGTACAATGTTCTTGAAAAAAGTATTTGTCTGAAACATATCAGACCCTATTTATACTTTTTAGAGACTTTCCCCCTCACCGTTTTTTCTCCCATCAATGGGCATAGATAAACTATTCTGAAACTATCTTTTAGCATAGCATTCCTTGCATGTTAACCATCTAGTAACCAATGTTGGTATAGGATCTGTTTACATTAGCATAATGTTCATTCATGATGAGCTAAGAATCTGCATAATTCAGATGCAGCATTGCATATAAAATTCATTAAGGAAGCCTGAATGCAACCACCACAACTAGACCTGATAGTAGGAATGGGTGATAAATGTATTAAAAAGCCAGACTGCACAGAAAACTAACCCAGAAAACTAATAGATTAAAACAAGCAAAAAACCAGTTAGATGTAGTTTGTGCTATTTTTTAAAAAGATAAATCCCATGTAAATCTTTCTAGAATCCAAATGAAAAATAACTAAACCATGCAACTCTGCTGGCTGATCTGCTTTCTATAGGAGCATGTGCAGCGGGGTGGTGTACTCCTAGCTGCAGCTACTACCTAACATTTAGGTGAAAGTCAAATCAGGAACTTTAAAGCTGTCAGGCTGACTATTAAAATGTTACACTCCGTTCAAATCTGACAGTTATGCAATATTTTTATTTGACTAGGCAATCCCTTATTCAATACACTCTCAGCTTCCACTTGTTAGCCTTCATCTAATCTTTTACACATCCTAAATATTGATTTAGGATTCCCACAATGCCTCTGAAATTTGATGGAAAAGAATAAAGCTGGATATCACCAACATAATGATGGTATCAATTTCAGCTGTCTGAATGATCTGGTTCTGTGGTTAAGCATCTTTTATTGAATTGGTTATGTAAAACTTTGTATAGAGCTATACATGAAAGAAACCCACCCACTCACCCACCCCAACATATACTGTATATTTGTGTGTGTGTTTTCTTTTTCATGTTTTTTTCTTTTTTTATTAACTTTAATTAAATATATAAATGTAAGGTTTAAAATTGTAGAAGGATTAAAGCAGAATCTTGTGAGATACTGCATCCAATAGCTACTTGTCAAATATAAATCACCATGTACCATTTTCTGGAACTTACCTGGATGGAGAAGCCTTTTTTTTGATCACTCATGGCTTAGCCACCTTCTGTATGGATTTCTGCAATATGCTGTACAATGTGTTTCCCTTGAAGAGTATCTAGAAGCTGTAATTGATGCAGTAGCATGGGCAGTTCTGGGCACCCAAAGGGTTGCACATGTAACATCTCTACTATGTGAGCTGCATTGGATGCCACTTTATTTCCTGGTCAAATTCAAGGTATTGATTTTTAAAGTCTTTTAAAGTCCTTCATAGTGTGGACCTGGTTATCTGAGGAAACATCCTGTCCCAATAAGATCGACCTGTCCCACCTAGTGAGACAGAGAGGGTTTGTTGCAGACCTCATTAATTAAAGAATTTTGACTGGCAGGGTCAAGGATGCGAGTCTTCTTTATTACTGTTGCTCCCAGAAATGAGATAGAGTGCCATCCCTCTGGCCTTCTGGAAGGGTGTCAAGACCCAGCTCTGCCAGCTGGCATGGCGGTTCAAGAGTGGTATGCAACCATAGGGATGGCATGAGGATGCCCCCTTGCCTTTTTTTAAACCATTAATCTTTATTTTAATTTTGTTTTTTAAAACTTTGCTTCTAACTTTCTCCCTTTTTTATATGGCTATATGGCTTTTATTTGTAAATCCCCCAGATTTCAGGTGAGATGGGCACTGTATAAAGTTTATAAATAAGAATAAAAATATGAAATGTGTACCTGAAGTAAGTCTCATACTGCTCTGTTTATAGATATACAGTCCAGAAGGACATTCTGACTGAAAGTGTTAAAATTTGCTGAGAAGTCCTCAAAATTCACAGGAATATAGTCACACTAACTAGACTCCAAATAGGTACTGATCCATGTGCCCATAGTAACCATATTAGTTTCTATTTAGCTAGTAACTATCCTAAGAGATCTACATGACTAGATTATACCGGTAGTAGAGCTATCAGTTTAAAATGGTACTAACCAGCTCTTGTCAGTTTTCTGCTTCCACCCCAAGAAATTACTTTGAAATGAGCTCAGGTTTATGACCTGTTTCACAAACAACAGAAATTTATTATTTGAAACAAACCTCTCTTCTTTATTTTTGCAAATACACTCTCCAATTATCTCCTTAATTTCAGGATCAGTAACTTTATCAAAACTTGCTGGTTTGACACCCTGCATGAGGAAAAAAAACATAATTAAATTTCTCTGGCATCTTAATTCTAGATCTACACAGCTTTGAGTTTAAATTAGGACTCTTATGTAATCTAATATACAATAGACCATTATATATTAATAACAAAGCTAAAGTCAGCATTAACTTTTATTATGAATTTTAATATTAAAGTTCTTGGGAGGGGAAAATTGAACTATCCTAGACTTCTGGGATTCTGTTCCAGAAAGATCAACGTCAAGGTTTTCTTTTTCCTAAGTTTTGTTTAAACAAATTAATTTATCAGTTAACTGTTTATTTTAATTATCCCTCAACTTTCGAGGTTTCAGAGCAGCTTTTCTAATTAGCTAATAGATTTTTTATAATATTTTGATACTGTTCTAGTATACAGTCCGCTTTAAAATAAGGAATAGATAGTGTAAAATAGTGTCTCTTATGGTTTTGCCCCAAATTTAAAGGTAATCCTTACAGATTTCTATTCTACAAAAAAGAAAACAGCAACACTGTAAGATAACCAAGTTTTCACTCTAATTGAAGTTTGTGAATGTCTTAGAAAAACATTTTCACCTGCTGACAGTTACAAGATATGAGCTTTAAGGATTCTCAATAGCAAATTTAAAATCCCAAGAAGAAACAAGATACTTAAGGCAATATTTTTATGCATATTGAAAATGGAAAAAGAATCTTTTTCTAGTGAGGTAAAGAAATTGAAATAGAAAACTTTATTCTATTTCTAAAAATTTCCCTTGAATAGTTTTAATAAGTATAATTATTTTTCACCCCTTTTTATGTTGTTGGGATATTTTAAGAAAGGAAGTGAATACCTTATGTCTGGCATAGACTTAAGACACCCATTTTGATTCTTTCACTGGAGCTCAACTCAGGGTGAATCTATGGATATTTTCATATAATTTTCATGACCGTAATATGCAAATACTTACCTTCTGGAACATTTTCCTAATTAACCTAATCTAGTCTACAGACCAGGTATTTCTTAGTATCTGCCAATCCAATACTAATTGGTTAATGGGTCCACCTCTAAGGTTGAGGGATGAGGACCTAAAAGGATTATTTGGATACCTTAAGACTCTTAAACTTTATTCTTTAATCTACAGATTGGTTTTCATGTCTTGTAATCAGGGGTGGGATTCTATCAGTTCTATAGAACCAGTTGTTATGATTCTGTGAAGTTTGGAGAACCAACAAATTGTGCCACTGGCTGGCCCCTCCCCTCCCCTGTCAGATTTCTTGCTTTCTAGCTAATCTAAATCACTGTTGTACTGCTTTGCCTTCACCCAGGAGGCTTCCCTGAAGCCTAGTCAGGGGTGGTATTCAGTGGGTTGGGGGAAAAGTGGCCTGAGAGTAGAGTTGAACCTTCCTTAGGACTGAAGCTTCTATTTTTCAGTGCAGACTCAGAAAGCAGATAGCAGAAAGGTAGATCTGTGAGTGAATTTGTGATTCTGCAAGCAACTCAATGTGCTTTGCCTGATTTTGGGTAAAAGTTGCTCTTTTTTAATTAAAAAATTCAATATTTACATAAATACAATATTTATATACCAGCCACACCCAGCCAGTCACATGAGCACCAAGCCACCCCCAGTCAGCAAGCCACATCTACCCAGTCACATGCCCACAAAGCCACACCCACAAATTATGCCATGCCCAAAGAACCTGTTGTTAAGAAATTTGAATCCCACTCCTGCTTGTAATTAATAGTACTTTTAAGGTTGGGTCTTATTTTAACTATCAAAAAGCATTACTAACATGTATTTTAAACACTCCATCCTGTAGATCAGCGGTCTCCAATCTTGGCAACTTTAAGCCTGGTGGACTTCAACTCCCAGGATTCCCCATGTCAGCTGAAGTCCACCAGGCTTAAAGTTGCAAAGGTTGGAGGCCTCTGTTGTAGATAACACTGCCCCATAAATGCTGTAAATAAAAATAAAACAATGCTCTTGAAGAGATTGGCATTTAGAATTGAAAGAGCTCTCATTCACTTTCAGGCAGCAAGTCCAAGGCCATCTATCCAAAGCAGGCATGGAAGTAACCGCTATTCAAGGTATATTTGAGGCATTATTTGAGTTGGTGCCATTACTCTTAAGATTTTCTCATCTATACATTCCACAAAATGCCCTTAGGTATGAGTGATTGAGGCATGAAAACAAATTGCAGAAAAAAACATGGGTCTAAAGACTGAAATAGTTGCCAAAAAGATTGTCTCTGCCTTGTACCATTTTAGGTTATACATATCTTATTTTACCAAAGAGGAACAATTCATCATACTTTCAGGAGGTTAAAATATACTTTGATTAAAAAAAATCTAAGAACTATGGTACCATTTTAACCTGAGAACCAATGAAAAAGTATTGTACAAGTTATTCATTTAATGAAGTGTTAAGCAGCAAAAGGTAATCCATGCTACACAAATAACTGTGGGAAGATGTACTTGTTTTAGATAAACCAATAAAGCCATCTAGAGAAGTTAGATGGTAGAGATTAGCATTTGGTTTCTTCCACTGATGTATTTCTGGCAGTACAATTGAGCAAATGTCATAAACTGGCCAATTAGACATCATGGAAGATCAGTAAAAATGACAGTTAAGGCCACAGTTCTGGAGGATGTTTTGAGTCCTATCTGTTGCTATAATAGGAAAGAAAAACATTTAATTTTTGCTCAGTATGGTTATAAATTCTTAATCCCTCAATAAGACACCTATATCAAGCTCTTTTGTTTAAGTCTGTTCAATTGTGTTTGATTCTCAGAAACTGCCTGGACAAGTCCTTGTAGTTTTCTTGGCAAGGTTTTTCAGAAGTATTTTGTCATTGTCGCTTTTCTAGGGCTGAGAAAAGTGACTGGCTCAAGGTCACTCAGCTGACTTTGTATCCAAGGTGTGACTAGAACACATTGTGTCCTAGTTTATATGGCTCTCATAGTGAGCTTTAGGAGGTATATGAATTGATTAATTTATGACTAATTTATAATTTAATTAATAAATTGGATAAGACATACATTCGTTTTAATTAGTCAGGTTAAATTCTCCCAGAAAACTTCATCATTCTGAACTCTCTTATACCAATCTTCTTAGTCTGTCCTTGATTAACTTTTTAAAGTAAGCATAGTAATACATATGAATGATGTAAATTAAACTTTGTACATATTAAGGATTTAACACAATTCCTTACAAAATAGCTGATGCAAACTGTGCTTATGTAACACGATCGGTCAGCTGTGGCTTTGTGTCTTTCCCCACTAACCTTGTAGGAAAGCAAAGCACATAACTACATGAATAATCAAGCTTGGGAAATATGTGCCATATCACATGAAGCTTTATAAAATAACAGTACTTTCCCAAAAAACAGTGAATTTAGGATTAAGAATTTAGTGCATGAAAGGACAGGCATAGGATAGTTATTTTATACTTGGAAAGCTTATTTGTTTCCTGAACATTTAATCATTTAATGAAAGAGTTCCATTCTAGACTATTTACGAAGGATATTAAATAAGAATCAGGCACAAATGTAACAAAAAATATTAACAAAATGTACCAACTAAAGACAAAGACTGTGTTGAAAGAGAAATAGAATAATTGGAATGTTCGTAGTGCATTCTTCCTACAATATAAGGACAACAGCCAATTTTTGTAAGGGACATACAAAGCAATGTTCTGTATCTCCTTGTTCTGTAGCTTGTTTCCATAATCTCCTCGACAAGGTCCCTCAAATTTGCAAAGCAATGTTGAGGTTGTGCCTGGATTTTAGAGGAAGAGGATTCTATTCTGCTGCTGCAAATAAATAACAGCATCTTGGGGGAAAGAGGAAAGGTCTCAAAAACTATGAGCTCAAAGCCTTGTGCATGTTTTAGACAAATCTTGACATTTTTTGACTCCCTCTGTGAACTCTGCTAAATGGATTTCCATCTGAATGGATTAGTAATCCATTTCTTCAGTAATCCTTACATTAGATTGGCATGACAAACAAATATTATCATTCTATTTCAGGTGTAGGTAAGGTAAAGGATCCAATTAAAAGTTTGTGGAAAGACATCTATGATGGTCTCCTGATGTCCTTTTTTAAATGAAAAAGCAATAAATAGCTGTAATTGTGTATTACAAAGTTTAAAAGTTCTTAACTTCTTCCACTGAGGCCAATTTCTGTCCCAATCAGTCTCTGAAAGATGCTTTTTCATGCATTTTGCTATGTCAACATTCAAAAACAAATGACTCAATAAATATGCAACCTGTGACAAATATAATCTTGACACATATAAAAACAAAACACTGAGCTGTAAGAACTTGTACTAGTGAATCTGTGTTCACACGTTTCAGTTTTCTACCAATTGAAAAATAGACAGGTTCCACAATTCATGTTTGATCTTAAACCCGACAATACAGTTTTGTTCCAATATTTCCTCCCCACCCCCCCAAAAAAAACATGCTAGTAGTAAGAAGATCTGTGTACATATACAGAAGCACATAATATTTGCAGGAATGTTTGCTGAATAAGCTATATGAATTTTCTCCACCACTCTTTATATATTCATATTTAATATAATAGAGTGGATCCCAAATAAATTAGTTCACTTAAATCAGTGGCTGAATCAATCCTGATTTCATGAGGCATCACTGATTTGAGCATAAAATAATGAAGCCTGAATACAATTCATTCAGTTTATTATCAAGAACACACCAAGGTAAAAGAACAAAGTAACCCCCCCGCCCCCTTACTTCACATGCTAGATCAATATCAGAGAGATTTAGTAGCAACTGTAGCTGAACAAAAGAAGATAAATGGGTCAATGTTATGCAGAACCAGAATAATGCACAGAGCTGTAAGTGATGTTATAGGCAAAAGCAAATTGACAGGCATTCATACAAATGCCTAGAGCCAGTTTGTTCTAGTGATTAAGATACCAGGCTAGAAACCAGGAGACTGTGAGTTCTAGTCCTGCCTTAAGCATAGTCTCCTTCTCTTTCTCTCTCAGCCCAACTCACCTCACAGGGTTGTTGTTGTGGGGAAAATAGGAAGGAGAAGGACCATTAGTTATGTTTGCTACCTTATTTATAAAAATAAAGGTATTATAAAAAGAAATTCATACAAATATATCCATTAACCATTGTAAGTATACAGTGCAAGCAAACTTCCAAAAGTACAAGAAACTGTATATAAAATTTACACAAATCACACATGTACACTATCTTCTAGTGACAAACTAAGAAGGAATTGCTCTATCTTTATATCATATCGGGTATATCCCTGGGTGTCACCTTATTTTTTAGAAATGCCAGAGTTCTATATGGTATTCAGAGAATATAAGACCTAAATAAGACAATGTATTCAACATAATCATAACGTTGAGAATTTAAGAATCATTTCAACAATACTTTTATTAAAGTTATATGTTATACAATAGCATATCAGAGCTTACAATGTTAAAATTAGGAAAAACAGTGTAAATGAAAGTGCAAAATGATTATATTAAAAATATTACTTACAGAGGTTACTTTCCTATAAATTTGAGCAGCATTCTGGCATTCTGAATATGGATATTCTGAGGTAGCCATTTCCAACATACACATTCCAAAAGCATATACATCCACTGATTCATCATAGTGTTCTTCATACATTTCTGGGGCCATAAATTCCGGAGTACCTGAACAGAACAAAAGGAATCCATCTTAGAAAACATATTTGTAGATAGAGCATCAACAAGAGAAAAGTACATTTAAAAGAGAACATTCTATGCATGAATATAAAACTCAAAGAAACTTCTGTATTTTAAACTGAAATTAGTAATACAGATGGTTATATGGAATATTGCGTGGAACCTAAAGGCATCATTCCATATGCAGAAATGTTCAATTCACAGAAAGACAATTTTCTACAATCTTGTGCCCCCTTCTCCCAGGCAATATTAATTCAAATAATACTTTGAAGCCCAATAAACAACTAGACTAAGACTTCAAGATATTTTCAGGTCCAAATTATTGCATAATTTTTGCAATGACATAGGAATCATCATGTTTTTTGAAAAAAATATCTGGAATTTGAAAAGTTCATCAAATATCCTATGAAGTTGATTTAATATCTTTTTTGATCTAACATAAGAATGCCAAAGTCTTATGTTTAAAATCGCAAGAGAGATACTAAACTTCAAATCCAAGTTTGAAAGTTAACAGCCATCTTGTCAACAGATGCCCTACTTCTGTTTATGCTTTGTGGCAAATCCCTGAGCTATAGATTTCCATAAGGAAATTGGAAGTCAGAATTCAAGATGGTATAAATGCACTCTTTGCCTTGGGAAAGAGAAGAGAGCAGTGCACTCCTAGAGGGGGAAAAACATGATCTTGATCATGTGTTACATGACTGAGAAAGAGGAAAGCATGGGGGGGTGGAAATAAAATAATTCCATCTTGATTTAGTTTGGTATAAGATGTTACTGCTTGTTAAGTAAGTTTATTTATTTATATATTACATCCACTGGAAGCATAAACTTCTAAACAAAAATAAATTATAATTCATGTTCACATGTATATAATAGTCAATACATTATAAAATTGCAGATTAAGAAAAAATAACCTTGTTGAAATTTTACTAATTTTGGAAGAATGTATGAGGCAAGGATTTAGCATTGCCAGTGAAAACAAAACATGGGCTGATTGTTTTGTGGCTCTATACTATTCATCCATTTTCAGTAAAGAATGGTGATGTAAATGAAATATGGAGGTTTTCAAGAAGAGACAGGACAGCCATTTGTCTGAAATGACATAGGGTCTCCTGTTTGAGCTGGGGGTTGGACTAGAAGACCTCCAAGGTCCCTTCCAATTCTGTTATGTCATGTCATGTCAGGTCATGCTTACCTATGACACTTTTGGCAAATGAAGTTCTCTTAAGAGTTGCCAGACCCAAATCTCCTATCTTCACAGATCCAGTTGGCCCAGTTATAAAAATATTGTCACATTTTAAATCTCTATGAATAATTGGCGGTGTTCGAGTGTGCAGAAAAAGAAGACCTTTTAGGATTTGCCGACACCAGCTACGAAGAACTTTTGGTTTCATCACTTTAAATCTCTTCAAATAGCTAAAATAAAAACATGTGAGATGGAATAAAATTATTTTAGAGAAAAACAGATGCACTGAGATTCTTCTTGTGGACAATATCTGCATTTCTGCAGCACAACAAGGTCCTCCAACATTCATGACACTTTCCAGGTCAGTTTGAGCACTTTGTAAGCAATCTACCTCTTGCAATTAGACTTATCTGATTCAGCCTTCAGCCAAGCACACTCAAATGAATTCCTAATTTAAGAGGAGGATAGTTTGGAAGGTAAATTATGAATAAATTCATTTAAATCCTAATGTGCCTTTAAAAGCTATGAATTACAATTCTATGGTGATCCTTCTTTATGCAAAACTCTACGTGTGCACTGAAACTATAGGTATATTGGCATATAGTTGATCACCAATAGTGCTTCAGATTTAAAACTTGAAATTGTTCATAAAGTGGAAAAAACATACAGAAGATTCTTACAAATATTGAAAAAGGCTATTTTGCCATTGGTAATATTAAATTCAGTAAGATAATAAAGCATGATGTTTCAGATTAATTATTCAAGCATGTTAATTTGTAGTGCTTTCCTTCTCATTGGTGGAAGATTATTTGATTATAGCTTAATAATGTTATCTATTTTGGGAAAGATTAACCAAGAGGTTCAAAATGACCCAAGTAAAACAAAGAAAGGAAGAGAAAATACAAGCAGAACTGTTGGTAGTCACAGAAGAAAACAATAGAAAAAATAACAGAAAGGAAATTCAATTTTGAAATTAAATTGATTTAATGTGAAATAGTCAGGCATATTATTATAAAGAAGGAAGATAGATTTCCATTCTTAAGAGGGTTAGGGATGTAACCAAGAACTTTTGTCTATACAGATGTTCTACTTAACTAATTATCATGTCATGACGTAATTAGTACTTACGTTTTCAGAGTTCCGGAGGTCATCAGTTCTGTTACCAGCACAATACACTTTTTTCCTTTTAAACACGACTCCCAAAAATCGTAAAACCTAACAATATTTGGGTGCTGAAGACCTTTCAACATTTCTGCTTCTTCTTTAAATCTTTGCCGTTCCACTTTTGTCAGCTTGCGATCCTGCAGTTCAGAAAATATTTCTTGTCAGAAGACAGCCTGGAAATATGCCCTGCATTAAAAGGGCTGCTGCACTTCAGTCACATGAAGAGGGTCATAAAAACTATGCCCATAATTTTTTTTTGTTCCAAGGAGGATATTAAAATGTTGGTTTGAGGGGTGCAGGAGAATTCAAATGAAAGATAAAATGTATTTGTCTTGCAAGTGGAATTATCTTTGATAAAATAGGATCTTTAGATTTAAGCCATAGCCATAACTCAGTATGGCAAATATTTTAAGTAAATATTAAATACAATTACACAATTCTGGGTTCATAAAAATCAAAGGTTTAAACAACAACAATCAAAACAGAATGATATCATTAAGAGTTTCATTATAGATACCATTTTTTTTCTTTTTTTGCATAGTTTTTTCAACATAGTTCTACAGATCAGCCCTGTTGGTCTGTGGCAGTGCACTCTATATGGAGGCTGCTCTTGAAGACCACCCAGATGTTTTACTTGGTCCAGGATGCAGAGTCGTGGGTAGTTAACACATTATGGACAACTCATTATGCCAATGTAACACCACTACTTGGTGAGCTGCACTGGTTTCTAATAAGCTTCTGGATGAGCTTCAAAATGCTATGCATCACCTTTAAAACCTTACATGTCATGGGGGCAGTTACTTGAATGACTGCTTTCTTCTCCCAAGAACATCTGTCCACACAACTTGATCCAACAGGGGGAGCATCTCCAAGTTCTTTCTTTTAAATCTTGTCATCTTATGGGACCACAGAAACGTGTCTTTTCTGTGGTTATCCCTATTTTCTGTAATAACAACCCCAATTTTGCCAGACTTTAGGAAAGCTACTTAATGGATTCCTTGGTGCTATCTGACCTTGATTATTTGCTTTCACATATTTCATCCAATTAGATAACATAATCAGTGCTAGTGGATATGGGATTTACATTGAGGAATAACTGTTGTGAGGCTTGGCATCACTGCTATGAGGATAAAGGTTTACTTCTGATCCCTATGTTTACTGATGTGCTAGGCTCTGATTGATTCCTGCTTGGCTCAGATTGGATTAGACATAACTGACTGAAACTGAAGTTTACAGAAGAATTGAGCAACTGGAAGAGATAATTCCTGATGCAGATGGGAGATTCTTTCCTTAAGAACCAAGTGCAGAGTTTGGTGATTATCTTTGACCTATGTTGACCATAAGCATTTAGCTCTAACCCTTTAGAACTTACAGGTCTACATAGTGTTAAATACATTTTTCTAGCTCTACTTTTTTATTGAGTACATAATTTCCTGGAGGAGACCAATTCAACTAGTCTGATCAATGTGCTAGTTACCTGCTACTTTTATTTTGTAATATTCTGTACATATGATGCCTTTGAAAGATTCAAAAATTGCAGTAGTTCCAAAATGTGATAACTAAACTTTTCTTGGCATGTCTCCACTGAAGCATGCTCTGTCTCTATTAACTTTCTTTTTACAGCTAAGTCTACATTTCTTCCTCCATAAGAAGTAGCACAAAAACTAAAATGCATTTTAGCCCATTGTAAGTGCTTCTCTAAAGAGAGGCTTATTTTGAACTGACAAAGGTTGGGACCTTTTTAGTTGGTGACTACATTATAATGGAAGCCCTTCCCTAAATAATCCACTTTGTCTGTTCTGTGACATAAAAAAAAAACCCTGACAAATGTTTTTTCATTTGTTTGCTTTCTGGCCCTTTTTAATGTAGCTGTCAAATTCCAGTGTGCGCTTCCACTGTAATCTCAATGTCAGATTATTGTTTTGTGTTACATGATTAGAATCGTTTATGGTTTTAATATATTAGACTATGTTTTGGGGTACATTATAATTAAATATTTGGGGTTGTAAACCTATTTGGGCTTGCTTGGCTGTGATGCTAAAAGATAAATGCATGTTTAAAACCTACACACAACTTTTATTTATTTATTTAATTTATAAGCCGCCCATTGCACTATCCAAAGTGACTTAGTTTCAAGTAAAATAAAGGATCACCCTTTGGAACCTGTCCATGTATTGAAGCCCTATTGGAAGCCTCACTGTTGCTGAAGTAGCCGGATTCTCTCACTAGTGACAATCACCTACAAATAGCCCTTGATTTAGGGCCATGATTGAGCCTGAAATTTCTGTTGCTAAGCAAGGAACAGAGAGTTGCCCCGTTTTACAACCTTTTTACCACAATTCTTAAGCAAATCACTGTTAAGTGGATAATATGATCATTAAATGAATCTAGCTTGTCAGAAGCCAACTGGGAAGGTTACAAATGATGATGACATGACCCCAGAACAGTGCAACTGTCATAATACATGCCAGTTGCCAAGTGCCCATGTTTTGATCACATGACCATGGGGATGCTGCAAAGGTCATTAAGTATGAAAACTGGCCATAAGCCTCATTTTTCAATATGGGCTGTAACTTCAAACAGTCACTAAATAAATTATTATAAGTTGAGACCTATCTATATTGTGGTTTCAACTGTGGGATTTTAATTCCCAGGTTGTTTTTTGTTGTACACTGCCCTGGGGGACATTCTTTGAATTGACTTGGGAAGATGAACACTTGAAATGTTCCTAAGAAATGTATGATATAAATAAAAATATCTCAAAGTACTCTCAGGTAAGGTTTTTCTTCTACTTTTCATTGACTCGCATGAAAAGCATACGTGTATATATCAATTTTGGCTCAGTGCCCTTGGCTAAGGTTCATATTAAGGGTACATAAACACTCCAAGGGTGAATATGACACTAAAAGGTTGGCCAAAAACACATCACGTACTTGAGAGGCTTAAGAGTTTAACTTCTATGTAACATAAAACAGCTCCACCTAGTTGTGGTTAATACTCGAGAGATACACTACAAAGAGCAAGCCAAAATAACCACAAAGAATAAGGCAGCATGACCACAAGCTATAACCTTTGCTACTTCAATGGATGTTTATAAACCATGCAGCCACATGAAGCAAATCCTTGAAAAGATGGGTCTTATGGTACATCAAGTAGCTATATTTCATATATATATAGCCCAAATAATTTAATGCTGCCACTCAGGGTTAGGAAAGTTACAATTAACAATGTTGAGCATATAAAACTGGAGCAATTAAGATGTTTGTAAATTATTTCAGCCATTGTTTTTCAATGGCAATCTTTCAGGATAAATAATAAGGCACTGAACAAAATAAGGCAGCAGTATTAAGAACCAGGACAGCATTCCAAACATGGGTTCTTCAAAATATTTTACACAAGCATTCCCATTATCTATGACAAATTGCTGACTATCTTTTGAGTTTTAATCCAGAATATCCGGTGGAACTCAGTTTGGAGAACAGCCTATGTCATTTGCCCAAAGTGGCTTCAATATAAAACGGCTGCACGCCTTCTGACAATCAATTCTTGTCCAAGTGGAATCTGCCCAGCCCATATGCATGTATGGAGAAAGTTTTGTGTTCTTCTCCCTAGGTCAAATCAGGGAAATGTAGATCTGAAGCCAATCCTTCTCTGTAGTGGCTCATCTACTTTGGAACACTCCAGTAGAAGAGCTTTGCTTTGCACTGTTTTCCCTGGTACTTTGCAAGATAATGAAATCTGTGTTATTTAACTAGGCATTGTGTGGATGACTTCTATGGTTTTCACTGACTTACATGGATGGGCAGGCATTATTTTATTATCAAATTTGTTGTTGAATTTTGGTTTTGAAATGGCTGATTTCCAGATTTTTAATCCTATTACTATGAGCGATACATTAAAAGTGGCTGAGGGAGGGAGGGAGTGAAGGAATGTGTGGGAGGCACCATGCATGTCAGAGAGGGTACATGAGGGTGTAAGGGGATGCACAAGACAGATTGTGTGGGTTAGGAGAGACGCACAGAGCTTGAGGGGTACATAAAGGTATGATTGCGGAGGGTGCATGGAGAGTGGGTGCATGAGGGTGTGAAGGATTGCGGCAAAAGTGTACAGTGTTACACGAGAGGCACTGTGAGTCAGGAAGGGGCATGGGTGAGTGCAAGAGGTGCCACATGGGTGGGGAGGCTGCACTGTGATGCAGTGCAGATTGCAGGAGGGGTGCTAAAGACCATGAGGGTAGTATGGTGAGAGCCAGGGAGAATGCACATGAGTGAGTAATAGCAATGGATCCTGGGTTATCTAGATACTTCTACGACCTTCATATCTGTTTATCTGTTTGTAGCCTTCAATTACCCCCAAAACGTTTGAATCAAGGTATCTCCAATCCACGGACTTGAAGAATTTAAGTTCAAAATTCAGTACCCATTATTCTCATGTAATTTAATTTTCAAGAATCTTCACACTAGTTGTATTCACAAAGTTGTGATTACTGCAGCCCTGCCACAGTCATGTAATCATGATTTCTGGTGTTCCTTGCCATGAGCAAAGTCAATGCAAAAGTCAGCAGTGCCTTGGAAGTTGCTCCTGCTCCCACTGCTTTTTTGTTCACCTGTAAGTTATTCCATTTCTCTGTTTAGGTAACGAAATAACTCTGAGAGGATGACCCAACAGATCATGAGTTATCTAATATACTCCTAAAATTTATCTGTGTGTCTGTTTGTTCCCTCAGGTTAGCCCAAAATTCTGCATTATCCCGTAACAATTTTTGAATCAAGGTAACTCAAATCCATTAACTTAAAAGAATGTGTACAAAATCCAGGATCCATTAGGTCTATGTAATTGAAATTTCCACGATAGTCTGAACCGTTTTATTTGCACAGTTGTGGTTGTTGCAGCGTCCCCCGTGATTACATGACCATGTTTTCTGACCCTCTGTCAGCTTCTTACAGGCAAAGTGAATGGGAAAACTGGCAGAAAGATGGAAGCTGCTTCCATTCCCACTGCTTTTTTGCCCACCTATGGGCATCAGTTTAAGTAAATATTGGCTTATTATTAAAGTTCCTTTGCCACTACGATTATTTTTCTACTTATGAAATATATTCTCCTTAGATGATCACAGGTCACAACCCAGCATTGGGGT